TCAAACTGATAGCTAAAAATCTGTTTTAACAGCATGCGAAAAGTTACTTTATCTGTTAAAAGTCATTATACAATTTTGAATGTTATGTAGTTTCTTTTTAACAGTTTAGGTAATAAGGTCTGTTTTCATTCTGGTGCTTTTATTAATTTTGATAGTATGATGTTACTTACTACTGAAATGTAAGCTAGAGTGTACACTAGAATGTAAGCTCCATGAGAGCAGGTACCTTGTCTGTCTTCTCTGCTGTATCTATTCCCAACGCTTGATGACGGTGCCTGGCACATAGTAGGCACTCAATAAATACTTGTTGAATGAATGAATGAATGAGTACTGGTGGAATACTCCATTAGCTCTACTCTTCTTTTAGCTAAGAGAACATGAGCAAATTTGCGCATGACAACTTCCAGGACAGGGGAAACTTGAACACTGAAGAATTGACCTCTTAAGCCTAATAATGTGGTGACAGGATGCCCACATGCTTCTTGACTTCAGATGAAAATCTGCTTGAAGGCAAAACAAATAATATTTGAAAGAAAAATCAAATGCCATTTTTGTCTTCTAGGTCGTGGAGGGCCCCCAAGACCCAACAGAGGGATGCCGCAAATGAACACTCAGCAAGTGAATTAATCTGATTCACAGGATTATGTTTAATCGCCAAAAACACACTGGCCAGTGTACCATAATATGTTACCAGAAGAGTTATTATCTATTTGTTCTCCCTTTCAGGAAACTTATTGTAAAGGGACTGTTTTCATCCCATAAAGACAGGACTACAATTGTCAGCTTTCTATTACCTGGATATGGAAGGAAACTATTTTTACTCTGCATGTTCTGTCCTAAGCGTCATCTTGAGCCTTGCACATGATACTCAGATTCCTCACCCTTGCTTAGGAGTAAAACAATATACTTTACAGGGTGATAATAATCTCCATAGTTATTTGAAGTGGCTTGATAAAGGCAAGATTGACTTTTTCGACATTGGATAAAATCTACAAATCAGCCCTTGAGTTATTCAATGGTAACTGACAACTAAAATATTTCCCTAGAAAGGAAGATGAAAGGAGTGGAGTGTGGTTTGGCAGAACAACTGCATTTCACAGCTTTTCCAGTCAAATTGGAGCACTGAACGTTCAGATGCATACCAAATTATGCATGGGTCCTAATCACACCTATAAGGCTGGCTACCAGCTTTGACACAGCACTGTTCATCTGGCCAAACAACTGTGGTTAAAAACACATGTAAAATGCTTTTAACAGCTGATACTGTATAAGACAAAGCCAAGATGCAAAATTAGGCTTTGATTGGCACTTTTTGAAAAATATGCAACAAATATGGGATGTAATCTGGATGGCCGCTTCTGTACTTAATGTGAAATATTTAGATACCTTTTTGAACACTTAACAGTTTTTTTGAGACAATGACTTTTGTAAGGATTGGTACTATCATTCCTTATGACATGTACATTGTCTGTCACTAATCCTTGGATTTTGCTGTATTGTCACCTAAATTGGTACAGGTACTGATGAAATCTCTAGTGGATAATCATAACACTCTTGGTCACATGTTTTTCCTTCAGCTTGAAAGCTTTTTTTTTAAAAGGAAAAGATACCAAATGCCTGCTGCTACCACCCTTTTCAATTGCTATCTTTTGAAAGGCACCAGTATGTGTTTTAGATTGATTTCCCTGTTTCAGGGAAATCACAGACGGTAGTTTCAGTTCTGATGGTATAAGCAAAACAAATAAAACATGTTTATAAAAGTTGTATCTTGAAACACTGGTGTTCAACAGCTAGCAGCTTATGTGATTCACCCCCATACCACGTTAGTGTCACAAATTTTATGGTTATCTCCAGCAACATTTCTCTAGTACTTGCACTTATTATCTTTTGTCTAATTTAACCTTACCTGAATTCTCCTTTTCTCCTGGAGGCATTTATATTCAAAGTGATAATTCCTTTCCTTAGATGCATAGGGAGAGTCTCTAAATTTGATGGAAATGGACACTTGAGTAGTGACTTAGCCTTATGTACTCTGTTGGAATTTGTGCTAGCAGTTTGAGCACTAGTTCTGTGTGCCTATGAACTTAATGCTGCTTATTATCTCATTCTGACTTCATGGAGAATTAAGCCCACCTTTAAGCAAAGGCTACTAAGTTAATGGTGTTTTCTGTGCAGAAATTAAATTTTATTTTCAGCATTTAGCCCAGGAATTTTTCCAGTAGGTGCTCAGCTATTTAAAAACAAAACTATTCTCAAACATTCATCATTAGACAACTGGAGTTTTTGCTGGTTTTGTAACCTACCAAAATGGATAGGCTGTTGAACATTCCACATTCAAAAGTTTTGTAGGGTGGTGGGAAATGGGGAATCTTCAATGTTTATTTTAAAATAAAATAAAATAAGTTCTTGACTTTTCTCATGTGTGGTTGTGGTACATCATATTGGAAGGGTTAACCTGTTACTTTGGCAAATGAGTATTTTTTTGCTAGCACCTCCCCTTGCGTGCTTTAAATGACATCTGCCTGGGATGTACCACAACCATATGTTATCTGTATCTTAGGGGAATGGATAAAATATTTGTGGTTTACTGGGTAATCCCTAGATGATGTATGCTTGCAATCCTATATATAAAACTAAATTTGCTATCTATGTAGAAAATAATTTCATGATATTTACAATCAGGATTGAAGTAAGTTCTTCACACAGTGACCTCTATGAATCAGTTTCAGAGAAGGGATGGGGAAGAAATGCCTTCTAGGTTTTGAACTTCTATGCATTAGTGCAGATGTGAATGTGTAAAGGTGTTCATAGTTTGACTATTCTATGTATGTTTTTTCAAAGAATTGTTTCTTTTTTTAAACTATAATTTTTCTTTTTTTGGTTATTTTACCATCACAGTTTAAATGTGTATCTTTTATGTCTACTCAGACCATATTTTTAAAGGGGTGCCTCATGGGGTAGAGAACCTTTCAATAAGTCTCATTAAGATCTGAATCTTGGTTCTAAGTATTCTGTATAATATGTGATTGCTTGTCCTAGCTGCAGAAGGCCTTTTGTTTGGTCAAATGCATATTTTAGCAGAGTTTCAAGGAAACGATTGTCACACGTGTCACTGTAGCCTCTTGGTGTAGCAAGCTCACATATAAAATACTTTTGTATATGCACAATATAAATCATCTCATGTGGATATGAAACTTCTTTTTTAAAACTTAAAAAGGTAGAATGTCATTGATTACCTTGATTAGGGCAGTTTTATTTCCAGATCCTAATAATTCCTAAAAAATACAGAAAAGTTTTTTTCAATCATTGTACCTTGATATTAAATATCCTTTAAATATTTCTAATCAGTTAGCTTCTACAGTTCTTTTGTCTCCTTTTATATGCAACTCTTATGTGGGAGACTTTTCCACTTAAAGGAGACATAGAATGTGTGCTTATTCTCAGAAGGTTGATTAACTGAGGTGATCAGTTAACAGCTAGTTGAGCAGTCAGCTTCCTAAGTGTTTTAGGACATTTGTTCATTATATTTTCAGTAATATAACTAGAGGAAATGGAATGCAGGTAAGTGCCGAATTCAAACCCTTCATTTCATCTTTAAGCTCGGAATCTGCATTCCACTTGAGTTCTTGTTAAGCATTCTAAGTTTTAATTGATTGTAAGTTAGATTTCACAGAATCAGTATTGCCCTTCATCTTGTCCTTTTTATGGAGTTAATGGGGAGGAAAACCCCTCAGGAAAATGAAAGTAAATTGTTAAGGCTCATACCTTTTTCCATTTTGAATTCTACAAAAGTTCTGGAAAAGACTAGTGAATGTTTAAAATTACATTAGATTAAATTCTATGAAAGCCTGGTTTTCTCACTGTCCTTGAACGAAGTCTGCTTAAGTTGTTAAAAACCATCCAGCAAAAGCTATAAGTGAAGAATTGCTACTGGTATGAGGAGAGGAAAAGGTTTATATAAGAAATCTGATAGCCTCATCTTCTAATACACTTCTCAGCCTCTACTACTAATATCCTACTTTAACAAGCTGTTCTGAAGCTAATCCAGTTACGTGAGCAGTACGGCTGTTTTGAGTATAGGCAGTGGAAGATAAGCAGTTTGTTCCTGATCATCTAGCAAAGGCATTCGTGTATTGCTCATTTGGAAATACTAACTTTAAGTACTGTGTTTAATAGGCAGACACACTGTATTAAGCCACTGAATTAAGGGTTTATTCAGCAAATTAGGGTATCCTTTGCCCAGCATCATGCCAAGCACTAGGCATTTAGTGGTAACAAAAATCACTGTGGTTTCTGCTTTCATTGAACTGTCTAATCAAAGACACTGATGTGACACCAAAGTGTAGCAAATGCCATGTTGGAGCAATGTGGTAGATACTAAAGCCATGACGGAGAGTGTATATCCTAGTTAAAATGATCAGGGGAGACAACTGAAAGGGGTAATTGAGTAGATTTGAAGGGTAAGGGGTAGTAGACTAGTCAAAAGAAAGAGAAGAACATATCTAAACGTCTGATCACCAGTGACTGAAAGTACCAGGATCAAGTGGAAAGACAAAGGACTAGCAGAGTTACAGGTTAGAGAAACAGGTAAAGACTACTGTGGACAGCGTAATAGTTGCATTTCATGTTTTGTCTAAGAACAGTTGCAAAATGTTTTGTCTCTTAAAAACAGTTGCAAACTATTGAAGGTTTTAAAGCTGTGTGTTGGGCCGGGTGTGGTGGCTCTTGCCTGAAATCCCAGCACTTCGGGAGGCTGAGGCAGGGGGATCATGAGGTCAGGAGTTTGAGACCAGCCTGGCCAATATGGTGAAATCCCGTCTCTACTAAAAATACTGAAACTAGCCGGGCGTGGTGGCATGCGCCTGTAGTCCCAGCAATTCGGGAGGCTGAGGCAGAAGAATCGCTTGAACCTGGTAGGTTGCAGTGAGCAGAGATGGCGCCACTGCACTCCATCCTGGGTGACAGAGCGAGACTTCGTCTCAAAAAAAAAAAAAAAAAAAAACCTGTTGTTTGGGGTGGGGATGGTGGCCCACTTAATAAAGTTGCCATTTAAATAACATTCAATGCAATGCTGAGAACAACATACGGACCAAGAGATGGTACGGAGGCTTGTTGGAGTGGTCCATGTGAGAAATAATGGATTCCAACTTAAGGTGGAGATGGGGTGGTGGTGGTGAATGGATTCTGTAGATACCCTATCTCACTGGTCACGACTCGGTATCCTTTGCTGATTTCTCCAGGCCTTGGATGTCAGACTCTCAGTATTCCAAGTCAACTCCTTGATTACCCAACACCAGTTGCTCAGAGCAAATGTTTTGGGTGCCATCTTCAATTTACTTTTATACCCTGTATCTAATCCTTAAGTGAGTTCACGTAGTTTAACTTGAATATCCAGTTATCTAATACTTTTAACCACTGCCACGACTACCATCCTAGCACAGGTGACTACAATAGCTTATAATTGTTCTCCCGTTTTCTACCGTTGCCTTCCTGTGGTTTAGTTTTTTGGCTAAGAGCCTTTTAAGAGGGCAAAGCACATTTTCTCATTTCCCTGTCCCCCACAAACTCCAGTGGTTTCTCATGATGACTAGAATTAAATTCTAAATCTGGTCCTTCACTTGCCCACTGCTTTGGCCACAGACTGCTTTGCCAGGACTTCTTCCCCATCTTGGAGCTTTTGTATGTACATCTTTGGCATGGGGGAGCATTTCACTCAGATACTGTCAGGGCTTATTCTTTATAAATTTTAGGTCCTTGTTTCATCCAGTGTCACCCCGTCCCCCGTCAGAGGCCTTCCGTGTTCGCTTCTAAAATAGTGCCCTTAGTTACTTCACTCACTGGATACTTTTGCTTAATAGCATTTAAAACAACCTAGAATTAACCACGAGGGGCAGTAACATTTTGGTCACTATCCCTTGTGAGCAGAATAGTGCATGGGCATATTGACATTTTGCTGAATGAACTAAAAAATTTCATGATGAATGTTGGATTAAATGGGTGGTGCTGCTGATGACATTAAAATTGGAAGTGTCTTATCTGGGGAAGGGGTTTGCATTCAGACATCTGCGGTATCCAGGAGGAAACATCAAGCAGTTGATAATGCTTTTTGAAGTTCAGCGATCTGCCCCAAAGTCAAGAATGCAACACGCTATGTATAGGTTGTCCTTGTAGTCATGTTCTTGGAGTTTACTGGAAGCCCAGGGGGAGTAATTTCATTTGACTTTGCAGGCCTAATGGGAGCCTGCAAAGTACAGAGGCCGCAGTCATGGGTAGATTACAGGATTCCCATCTGTAAGATCAGTACTGTGGGGGTGGAGGGACAAGCGAGACCAATAAAATAGGTCTGTCGGCCGAGTTTCCTCAACTTACGGGGATCGGTTAAATTGAGCACATAGCTGGATCCGTCGCGTCTCGCGTACCCAGGCTGACGCTGAAAACCCTGGACCTAGTGGGCAGGCCCTGGGGGTGCGGACATCTATTTTGCCCTTCTCAGCCAAGGTACCTTAGTTCGGATATGATGAGCGTGAAGAGGCAAACCGCACCCAATACCCCAGCTACCGCGAGCTGTGAGACTAAAATGCGCAACCGCAGTGGACATCTAGACCCCAGCTCCGCCTCCGGTGGCTTACGTCATTACTCAGCGACAGCCTTGAGGAAGGTCCCTTCTCGCTCGCCATCGCTGCGACTGTAATGCGCTTGCGCACGTGCAGTGTACCAGTGCCTCAGAGCGGCGCGTGCCGCGGAGCCAGGCCAAGTCCGAGACCCGGTCACCAGGCATCCGCTAGGGGCAGTTAGTTGTGCCTTCTCTTTCGGAGTTGTTCCGTGCTCCCACGTGCTTCTGCTTCTCCACTGGCTGGGATCCGCCGGGCTCGGGACGCAGGTACCCAACGCGGGATGGCCGCGTATGGATGCCAAGATCGGTGTCTGTGTTCTTCCTGTCCCGAGAGGGGACCGGCCTCAGGATGAAGGCTCTGCATCCGGACGGATACCTGGCCTACGCCGACTGTCCTCCACCCCTCTTTTGGGGCGCTCCTAGATAACAGAATCACCTCTCCAATACGCAGCCGCTCTGGGCGCGTGCTTCTCGAGCATCCTCGGGGATTGCGTGGCTTGATACTCACCCGCTAAGTGCCTGTAACTGGGGAGTCGGGTTGAATGGGTGGGTGACAACACTTGCTTTCCGTGGAGCTTGCCCGCAGTGCCCGGCGGCAGCTCTAAGCTTTAAACTTAGGTAATCTGATTCCAGATCCTTCCACGTTCTTAAATCCTTCACTGTGCACATTCCTTTATACTTTTTATTCAGCAATCACATTCAGGATTTGGTTTTGTTTGCCAGTGCACCTAAAGTGGTGCCTGCCACCTAGATGTTATGTGTAGATAGATAAATGAATGAGTGAGTGAAAAATAATCATCTCCTTCAAGGCCTTCCCCATCCAGGCCTTCCATGACAGCTTCAGCCTATAGTAATCTCAGCGCTTCCTTCATCTGACCCCGCACTATAGCTGTTTTTTTTACATCTAATTTTACCTGGTTCTTGTTCCTCATCTCATTCTTTTAAATACCTTCTTCACGAAGAATGCAAGCTTGAAGTCAAGGGCCTTGTGGTACTACTTCTGGGGCTCCCACAGTAGTTAGAGCAAAAGGCAGCCCCCATTAATTAGTTGTTGATTGATTTTTGCAGGATCTTTATGTGGCCGGCAACACAGGGTTTACAAGTTGAGAAGATTGGTGAACTGGGAAGAGCTCAGGTTTTGGAGTCGGGAAGACTTGAGTGTGAATTCTGTCTCTCGTTTTTCTGCCTTGGGGTATTTGAATTCTTTATACTTTCTCCTTTACTTATAAATTGGGGTCCTTGACAGTGATTTAGTGTTTTATAATAAGACATATGCTAAAATCTGTGTTTGGATTGGAAGGTTAGAAGGGACAGTTAAAGTGTGGTAAGCTAGGCCGGGCGCGGTGGCTCAAGCCTGTAATCCCAGCACTTTGGGAGGCCGAGACGGGCGGATCACAAGGTCAGGAGATCGAGACCAGCCTGGCTAATACAGTGAAACCCCGTCTCTACTAAAAAATACAAAAAACTAGCCGGGTGAGGTGGCGGGCGCCTGTAGTCCCAGCTACTCGGGAGGCTGAGGCAGGAGAATGGCGTAGACCCGGGAGGCGGAGCTTGCAGTGAGCTGAGATGCGGCCACTGCACTCCAGCCTGGGCGACAGAGCGAGACTCCGTCTCAAAAGAAAAAAAAAAAAAAAAAGTGTGGTAAGCTTCAGTAAATGAACTTGATGTTTGTAATGCAGTAGGTACCGGAATTTCTAAGTAGCATGTCACTTTTACATCGAAGTAGCATGTTACTTTTAGAGTGATATTTCTGACGTTTTTATTGTGATGATGCAATATTTTACTGTAGGTAATCAAGGAACTATTTTTTTTTTTTTTTTTTTTTTTGAGACGGAGTCTCGCTCTGTCGCCTAGGTTGGAGTGCAATGGCACACGATCTCGGCTCACTGCAACTTCCGCCTCCCGGTTTCAAGTGATTCTCTTGCCTCAGCCTCTCCTGCAGCTCCACCACCACTCCCGGCTAAGTTTTGTGTTTTTGGTAGAGATGGGGTTTCGCCATGTTGGCCAGGTTGGTCTCGAATTCCTGACTTCAGGTGATCCACCCGCCTCGGCCTTCCAAAGTGCTGGGCTTACAGGCGTGAACCACCACACCCGGCGAGAACTTTTGAGGTCTGTACAAAGGCTTCAGTATAGTTTTAAAATGAGGAAACATTTGGACACATTACATCATGGAATTATTCATTGATAGTTATTGATTTCCCTGACTTTATTAGTAACACGTGAATTTTTTAAGACTCCACAAAAACAAAACAACAAAAGTCCCACCATCTAGAAGTAGCTACTTTATACTTTGATACTTCCTTCCAGTCTTTTTTTTTCCCCTCTGTTATGTGTATGCATTAGAAATGTTATGATACTTTATTCTGTCATGATTCTGTCATAAACATCTATATCCATATCCTTAGTTATTAAAAATGCTTGGCTGTGTGTGGTGGCTCACGCCTGTAATCCCAGCACTTTGGGAGGCTGAGGCGGGCGGATTGGGAGGTCAAGAGATCAAGACCATCCTGGCCAGCGTGCGCCTGTAGTCCCAGCTACTCGGGAGGCTGAGGCAGGAGGATTGGTTGAACCCAGGAGGCAGAGGTTGCAGGAAGCCAAGATCATGCCACTGCACTCCAGCCTGGCAACAGAGTGAGACTCCGTCTCAAAAACAAACAAAATGCTTTGGATATTTGGATATACCCTATGTATTTTAGTCATTCTCCTACTTTTTTGAATATACAAGTTTCTGATTTTTAAAAAGTCTTTAATAGAGGTGAATTACAGGCTTCCCAGGCTGAGGGGAGGTTTTCTCACCTCCCAAGCCCAAGGTTTCCTGAGTTTAAAACTAGAGACTGATGTCTTCCCTATGGAGCTCTTAGAGGGTTAAGTAAGACAATATTTATAGATATGCCTAGCACAGTCCCTGGCCCCACAAGAGGCAGCCAGCTAATGTTCCTTAGACAGTCTAGTGCACATGGCCAGTTGCATTTCTTTCTCTTTTAGTAATAATTTTTCACCATGCATCGGAAAAAGGTGGATAACCGAATCCGGATTCTCATTGAGAATGGGGTAGCTGAGCGGCAAAGATCTCTCTTTGTTGTAGTCGGGGATCGAGGAAAAGATCAGGTATGACCCGGTAAATGTTTCCTGAATTACTTTTTCTCTTGTCCAAAAGACTCAGCATGTTTAAGCACTCTGGTGTTTCAGGATATAATGGCATTAAGATCTCTTTGGCTGGTAAGATGCCTAGTGGGAACCTTTATTTCCTGGAAGGGGTGAATTCTCTGTATTTAGATTGATTAGCAGACAAGCTAATACCTTTTGAAGCCTGGGGTGGTGGGTTGACCACAAGGTTAACTGTATGTGACGTGGCTTCTAGTCCAAACCTGGTCATTGGTCGCCTTGGGACCTTGGGCACTTCCCTTCCCTGGCCCTCAATTTAGTTTCCATATCTGTCAAATGAGGTCTTAAGCCTGGCAGTCTCTAAAGTCTCTTTTGTGCCTGAAATTCTGTGACTTTTTTGTTTGGCAGGTGGTAATACTTCATCACATGTTATCCAAAGCAACTGTGAAGGCTCGGCCTTCAGTGCTGTGGTGTTATAAGAAAGAGCTGGGGTTTAGCAGGTAAGCTGGGCTCTTCATGTGTTTTATCCAACTTACGATTCCTGCTCATTAGTTAAATGCCAGGAAATGATTCCTTGACATATTTTTTGTGGGTCTTTAGTGGAGGTGCTATCTCTGAGGACAAATGGAGCTGATATCCTTTCTTCATTCCTGAAAATAAGTTTCAAATCATTTTCATGCTTTTTAAGTCACGAATCCAATGCCTTGCCTTCTGCGTATGGTTTTCCTTCCTGCTTTTCTAGGCCGATTAAGCCCATCTCATTGCAAGTTCCTTCAAACTGTCTTTCTTACCTCAAATTTATTCTACCTTTTCACTATATCTTTTTTTCTCCCCTTCTTTCATGGAGGGGGATATATCTCATCCCATGTCCAAGGAAAACCCCTTTATGTACCCTGTGTCTCCTCCCTCACCTCTTTCAGGACCTTATTGTCTTTCCTCTACTGGTCACCCCATACCCTTTGGAAACTTTCTCCTTCCTGTAAACATGCTCAGATTTTTCTATTATCAAAAGCTGATTACTTACATACCCAGATTTCTCTCTCAGGTTAGCATTTCCTCCCATTTTTATTGCCATATACCTTAAAACAGAAATCTTTTGCATTTAGTGGCCACTTTTGCAGTCTGGTTTCTGCTTCTATAATTGTGATCAAATTGTGCCATTAGACATCCCCAGCAGATTGATGCCCAATGCATCAACTTTTCTCTCTCTCTCTCCTCCTTTTCAGAGCTCTGCCTCTTCTTCTGCCAGTTCACTGCTGTATTGACAGTAGGCTATTTGAAGCTGTGGTAGTCAAGACTTTTAGTCACAGATAACAAACTTTCAACACAAATACAGTTTGGCACAAAGGGATTTCACTGAGGTATATGGGATATTTCCTGGAATCCAAGGGGATAATATTTCAGCCCTACTCACGGGTGATCTAGAGCCAGAGTGCTAATGTTCCCGGCTCAGTTTGTCATCTCAGCATATCTGCTCTATGCAGACCAGCTTTCTCACTGCAGACCAGCTTTCTGTTTTCTGTTGTCCCCCTAGTAGAAACAACACTGGAGTTTTCCTTGTTTCAGGCCCAGCCATGTGGAAATCAGACTTTTTCCCAAAATTCTGGTGGAAAGATGCCTATTCCTGGCCAGAGGAGGGAGGGTGGGGTTGGTCATAGTATAATAGGAAGTTGGAAGTTCTACCTACAACTTTGTGTTTGGAGAAGTTTGGGATGGGATGGGGAGTGCTGTTCCTTGGCAGATAACCACCATGGCATCATCTCAGAAATAGTCTCGTTTTTTGGCTTCGGTGTCTTTACTGAGACTACCTTCCGGAGCTCTTCTCTTTCCCTGGATCTTGTCTCCTTACTCTAAACCTAGCTGGCATATGCGATTCTGTCTTTGAGCCTCTTCTAATTTCCAAATGTGCTCATCTCCGATCTGACTCTGAAAGCCTGTCTCCAGCTCTGGCTGCTTTATGCTGTGAGTAACCTCCCTGCTTTTCTTTGCTCATGCTGTCTCCTCTGCTTGGAATGCCACGTCCACCTCCCTGATATCACCTACTGAAATCCTCCCTGTTTCTCAGGGCCTGCCTCCTCCATGAAGCTTTTCCTGAGCCCCCCCAGTCATACCTGATGGTTCCTCTACCTTCCTCTGCACTTGTCCTTCTCCTATAATGTTTGTCACTGGATGCTCTTGCTTTGGGGTAGAGTCATGTACATACTGTGACTTAATTTCATTTTTTTTTCTTTTATCTTTTTTTTTTTTTTTTTTTTAACTTTCAGGTGATAAGCTCATTCAGTTAGGAGCCCTCTCCTATTTATCTTTGTCTTTTCATGTTTTCAACTGTTTTAGCATGTTTGTCATAGGTACTCAGTATACATTGAGTTGGATGTATTGTTAACAGGCTCTAAAATTATTTTAACTGAAATTAGTTCCAGAGGCCAAACTTGCCCCTGTCCTGTGGTTTTAAAGTAAAGGGATTCTGCCTAAAGGAAACCAGACAATCATAAGAGCCTTATTGTTGAAATGTGAAAAGTGCAGAAAACCCAAAGATGAAAATAAAAAGCATTTCAGTGTCTAGGCATTGTCAGCATCTATATGTTTATTACTGGTATGTAGTTTTGAACCATAATTGGTATTCTGTTGTATATAGTCTCATATTTTGAGAGGTAGGCATTTTTAATACAGATTGAGAATAAGGCCTGCTGCCTATCCCAGAATTTTAAGTTTTTAGGGCTTCTGGTTTTCAATATTTTTCATTTGGCAAATGTGAGACGGGTGTGGAATTAGGCAATTCAGAGTCTTCTGGGCAGATTTGCCTTTTGAATTTAAACCAGCTGGCTTCACTTCTAAAAATATATTTTTGTACCTCTTATAGCTCTTCCGCCCTACCCCTGCCTTGCTGTGGTGGAGCATTATGTTCAAGCTAATGCCTGCTTGTAAGTCATGGGCTTAAGGCCTGAGCCAGAAGGAACAGTGGAGATAAACTCACCCACTGTCTTGGTTCATAGATGAGGAAATGGAGGCCCACAGGAGGAAGGGCCTTTGTTCTAGCTATTAAGTTAGACAACTATGGTAAAATTTTGATCAGCTGTAATCCTCCATTCTAGAACATTCTAGTTCTCTCTTTTGGTAAAGGAAAGGTAAATAGCAGCTGGATATGCAGGGTTTTTAAGACCAAAAATAATTCAGGGATTCCTTAGAGATGTCCAGATTCCATTCTGATCCCTGTGTCCTATATCATTATTGTCTTATATAAGACCTGCCCTCGAAGACATAATCCCACATTCTCGGGAAGGAGGTCCTCTAGGAAGGATGAATAAAGTAATGTGCCATCACCTTGTCTTTCCCAGGATCTCTGGGGAACAGCACAGTGTAGTTGAAGCATTGGCTTATGACTGAGATAATGAGGCCACTCAGGTTTGGTTTCAAGCTCTGGCTTTGGCCAAATGTGAGGGTTAGCTACCCTGTTACCCAACTTTTAAAGCAAAGTATTTGCTCGAGGTCACAGAGCAAAATAGCAGTGTTCACACATAGACTTATCACTCTTACACCAAGCCCTTAAGCACTCTAATGCCTCTCCACTGCCCTCCACCTGAAGTGGGCCTCACACTTTCAAGTTCCCTACTCGCTCTGAAAGTCTAAGTGGGTGATGACTGAGCCCGTCCCCTGGTTCCAACTCTTTAGCCTCTCTGGTTAACTGGCTCTCATGGGATTGGGGGCGTGTGATTGCAGTCACCGGAAGAAAAGAATGCGACAGCTGCAGAAGAAAATAAAGAATGGAACGTTGAACATAAAGCAGGATGACCCCTTTGAACTCTTCATAGCAGCCACAAACATTCGCTACTGCTACTACAATGAGACCCACAAGATCCTGGGCAATACCTTCGGCATGTGTGTGCTGCAGGTGGGTGATTTCCTCTAGCCTCTGATTGAAGGCAGAGTCTTGAGGGTTGCTTGGGCTGCCTGACTTTCCACTGGAAACAAATGTACAGTAAGGAGAGGAGAAGTCCCATATTCCCTATCCCCAAGCATTATTAGTGGAAATCCCGGCCACTTTCCAAAGTACACTTGGTCACTTACCCCATATAAAAAGAGAATTTTCTACTTAAATCAGCACTTGTCTAGAGACACCGGAACTGAAGTGATGCATTGTTATAACTGGTTCTAACTAGCTAAAGCTGATAAAGCAAATGCCAGAGACTTTGCGTGCCTCTAGGACCCCAGGTCCTTATTGGCGTTCACCAAAGACTTTCTTGTCCAGTGAGCAATAGGACTTGTTTTCCAACTGGAATACAGACCAATGCACTTAAATGTCCTGTCCAGAGTGCCTGAGTAGCATACCCACCATGAAGGCCCCTCTCCCCGTTTCTAGCCCTTAAAAACCCCTCACTTTATCTCTCAGAGACTACTTGGTGAATTTCTGCACTGGTATGTATTCTCTTGCCTGGCAAGTTAATAGACTAAGTTTCACTTTGTGTGTGTGTGTGTGTGTGTATGCATGTGCGTGTAAGCTCTGGTGGTCTTTGTTTTATTCTTTGTTTCTTTGACTCCCGTGCCACCTCCCTTCCCCATTCTCCCAAAAAAGACAAGACAAAATTAAGCACAAATCCCCACATTCAATGTGTTTATCATATACACCTACGACTGTGCCCTTTATTATGTCGAGTTACATACCTCACAAAACATGGGTTGTCTCCTGTACTCCTGGCTTGCTTCCCACGTTGGAGGTCAAAAAAGAGGGCGTTTTGCCTCATTTTCACCTTTACTCAGGGGAATGCCCTGGCTGATCACTGATTTGTAGGGAGTGGTCTTCTGCTTGCTGCCTTGATCAGTTGCCTGAGTAATGACTCCTGGGAGCAGCAGCTCCCCCATGTGGTATAGTTTTGTCAAACAGGTTTGGGCTATAAATGTCAGAAAATGTAAGATGTTTCTGAAATTCAAGTGTGAATCAATGAAGGCTGGAAAATTTGTTTCCAAATAAGAGTTTATCAGAGAGGTTTTTGACATATAAAACTAACAATGTCTCTAATAAGAGACCCATTTTTGGCATATAAAACCAGGTATTCATATATTCGAGGGCTTGGTCCTCTTCTGTGGTGCGCCCTGTGTGTGTATCCTGGGAAGTCAAGGTGGGAAGAAGTACGGTCTTGGCTTTATGCTGCGAAGTCGTCTTTTTGCCTTATCACCTTGCTTTGGTTAAGAGTCCCTTGGGTTGGGCCAGGTGCAGTGGCTCACCTGTAATCCCAGCATTTTGGGAGGCCCAGGTGGGTGGTGAGCCAAGATTGTACCACTGCATTGCAGCTTGGGTGACAGAGCGAGACTCCATCTCAAAAAAAAAAAGCCCCTTGGGTTGGTATTCGCATGAATACCCTTTCTCACGCCCCTTCTTCCAGGATTTCGAAGCCTTAACTCCAAACTTGCTGGCCAGGACCGTAGAAACAGTGGAAGGTGGTGGGCTAGTGGTCATCCTCCTACGGACCATGAACTCACTCAAGCAATTGTACACAATGACCATGGTAAGCATCTGTTTTTAACTTAATTGTGAGGGTTCAAGTACATCTGTTTTTGCTGTGTTCTGCTTTCTTTAAAGAATTCCTGTTGGGCAGCTCCAGTGAGTAGCCAGCACAGCCTCAGGGCTAAGAGCTCTTTGATTTTAACTAGTGAAAAAGTCACTGCAGTTAAATCTCAGGGTCCCTGAGTGTGCCTAGGAATCTCTGAATTTCACCTTTGTTTTCAGGCATTTGCAAATTCTACATTAGTGAGATTCAGATATGATGCAGCTTTTATGTAGTTAAATTTTCTGGAATGATACTGTATAAGGAGCAATGCCAGTGCCTAAATTTGTGTATTGCAAAAAAAAAGGACCATGTGTAGACTCCTCACTGGCCCTTATCCTAATGGATGACTAAGGAACATTTGCTAGTTGTACTCCCAGTTTGGCAAGAATTTCAACTCCAGCAGATACTCTGTTCTCCCAAAGCAAAAGACACTGAGGACATGGTGAAGAGTTAGGGATGTGTCTCACCTGATGCAGAGCTGGTCTCCTCTCTCTATCAGTGTTGCCAAGTTGTGTTCAGAGGCAAGTTTTAAAGTCATGCCCATGCCCAGCAGCTCTGTAATGGTGGTCGGATTGGACTTGGTCTGATGAAATGAACTTGCCTCAAATCTTAGGGGCTGTTTCCTGTCATTACTTCTCCCATCATCACTTGCACTACAGCCCTTTTGGCCTCCTCGAACGTCCTCAGACATGCCCAGCACACACTCATGCTAGAGCCTTGACACTTGCAGTTCCCACTGGAATGTGCTTCCTCTGGACCTCTGCCTGGCTCACTTCCTCATTGCATTCAAGTCCCTGCTCAGATATCACCTCATCCGTGTGGTCTTTCCTCACACCCTGTTTACAGTAGGCAGCTCTGCCTGTCACTCCTTAACCGGCTTTATTTTTCTTCAGAGCACTTGACAGTTACCTAAAGTTGTTGTTGTTATTATTATTATTATTATTATTATTATTAGTCTGTCCTTCTGTACTAGTCTGTAAATTTTATCGGAGGGCTAGGCACAGTGGCTCATGCCTGTAATCCCAGCACTTTGGGAGCCTGAGATGGGTGGATCACCTGAGGTCAAGAGTTTGAGACCAGCCTGGCCAACATGGTGAAACCTCATCTCTACCAAAAATACAAAAAAAATTAACCACGTATGGTGACGCACACCTGTAATTCCAGCTACTAGGGAGGCTGAGGCGGGAGAATCACTTGAACTCAGGAGGTGGAGGTTGCAGTGAGCTGAGGTCAGGCCACTGCACTCCAGCCTGGGTGACAGGGCAAGACTCCATCTCAAAAAGTAAAAAAAAAAAAAAAAAATAAATTTGATTGGAACAGAGAGCTAGTTTTCTTTGCTGTTGCCTTTCCAGATCTTACAAGAGTGCCTGGCAGGCCGGGCACGGTGGCTCAAGCCTGTAATCCCAGCACTTTGGGAGGCTGAGACGGGTGGATCATGAGGTCAGGAGATCGAGACCATCCTGGCTAACACGGTGAAACCCCGTCTCTACTAAAAAATACAAAAAACTAGCCAGGCGAGGTGGCGGGCGCCTGTATTCCCAGCTACTCGGGAGGCTAAGGCAGGAGAATGGCGTGAACCCGGGAGGCGGAGCTTGCAGTGAGCTGAGATCTGGCCACTGCACTCCAGCCTGGGTGACAGAGCGAGACTCCGTCTCAAAAAAAAAAAAAGAAGAATGCCTGGCATTTAGTAAGCATTCCTTAGATATTTGAGAGTGAATGAATGACTTTGTGTTCATATCAGTTTGTTCTTCCTCTCTCTCTTACATGGCTACCTACTTATTCTTCAGGCCTCAGCTTATCTCGGAGAGGCTCTCCCTCACTACCCTACATAAGTGACCCCCACTTGCTATCTGTGCAGTCTGTATTTCACATGTAGCATTTGCCAAAATGGGTATTTTTCTACTCATTTTTCTTCCTCCCTCCATTACACTCCAAGTGCCATGAGAACAGAGGTCATGCTTTGTTCACTAGTGTATACACAGCATATCTGGCACACAGCATGCCAGTTTTATGAAATAAATGAATATAACTTAGGATGCTAGAAAAAAATGTGGAAAAGTGAAAGATTTTAATAAGCAACATTGCATTCAGTGTCTGATCCCAGTTTTAGCAAATACCATTTGGCACAGCAGGGTGTGTGGGAGTGATTTTGTTTCCAGCAAGATTGCCCATGTCTCCTTGGATAGAGCGTTGTATTTGGACCCTGGTCCTCAGCACTGTTTGCATGCCTTTGTTAATGGATGTTGTCTTTCTTTGTTAGGATGTGCATTCCAGGTACAGAACTGAGGCCCATCAGGATGTGGTGGGAAGATTTAATGAAAGGTAGGTCTATAGTTCCTCCCAATTGTGGGGCAGCTACGTTGGGAAGGATATTTTTATCTTGGACTCAGCTGAAAGCTTTGCTTTTGCATTGGGGAAAGTAGTACACGATTCCAAAAATGATGAAATTCTTGACAGCAGCAGCAGTTGTGAGACTAACTGGAAGCAGTGAAATGTGGTAGAAAGTTGGAGCCAGGAAACCTCAATTTTGTTTTGCTGCTGCCCCTGACAGTTCAGTTAAACCAAGTTACTCTCTCTGGCTCTTAGCTTACTCATCTTTTAAAGGAGTGATTTTTCTGGATCACTCTTTCCCAGAAGATATTTCATAGAACACTAGTTTTTCCAAACTTTTTATTATGGATATGACATATTTCGCGTAGTAAAAATGATAAGAAAAATATGGGAGGGGTGAGATGTAATTAGAGGCAGAAAAAGGCGACAAAATGTTTCTTCTGAGCAAAGGATCACCCATAATTTCAAATATGATACACAATTTGTTATCTGAAATTAAATATTTATTTATTTGTTTATTTATTTTGAGACGGAGTCTCACTGTGTTGCCCAGGCTGGAGTGTAGTGGCGCGATCTTGGCTTACTGCAACCTCTGCCTCCTGGGTCGAGTGATTCTCCTGTATCAGCCTCCCGAGTAGCTGGGATTATAGGTGCCTGCCACCACACTCGGCTAATTTTTTGTATTATTATTATTATTTTTTTGAGACAGAGTCTCGCTCTGATACCCAGGCTGGAGTACAGTGGCACGATCTTGGCGCAGGGCAACCTCTGTCTCCCGGGTTCAAGCGATTCTTGTACCTCAGCCTCCCAAGTAGCCGGGATTACAGGAGCCCACCACCATGCCTGACTAATTTTTGTATTTTTAGTAGAGACAAGGTTTCACCATGTTGGCCAGGCTGGTCCTGATCTCCTGACCTCAAATGATCTGCCCCAGCTCCGTCTCCCAAAGTGCTGGGATGAGCCACTGCTCCTGACCATTTTTTGTATTTTTAGTAGAGGTGGGGGTTTTACTATGTTGGCCAGGCTGGTGTCGAACTCCTGACCTCAAGTGATCTTCTCTTCAGCCTCCCAAAGTGCTGGGATTACAGGCGTGAGCCACTGTGCCCGGCCATAGAACACTAGTTTTTTGAGAGGGACCGTATGAGGAGAGTTTGGCCATATATGTCTGGGAAACACAGATACTGTTTTTCCTTTATGAAGATTTACCCTAGCCTGTTGTAATCTCTGAAAAGTCTTGCAGCAGCAGGGACCTGTTTAACTGATTGTTTCCCAAATTTATCTTACCACAGTTTTTTTTGGCGGGATGGGAACACCAGTTAGCACCCTGTGAAACGCCTTAGGAAAATTTGATCTAAATCAGTGGTTCTCATATGGAGCCATTTGGCCCCCTGGGGACGTTGGGCAATGTCTGGAAATGTTTTGATTGTAATGACTTTGGGAGGTAGTGGTGGGTGCCGTGGGCATCCAGTGGGTAGAGGCCAGGGATGTTGCTGAACAACCGGTGGTGCACAGGACAGGTCCACACCAAAGAATTATCTGGTCCGAAATGTCAGTAGTGCTGAGGTGTAGAAATCCGAGCCCTGATGAACCCTGGGGGCCTTTCTTATTTTAACCATCTGTGATGCACTAACTCAGTAGAATGAGCGGATCAGGAGGAGCAGCTGTGTGCTACTGAATACAACAGAAGCCTGTGAAATCTTTTTCTTGCAGTGGGAGGATGTTTGAATTTTATAGTCAAACACATTTTTTTTCCCTGCATGCAAGAACGTTTGTATTGTATTTCTTTGGGGAGCTTTCCTTTCCCCTTGTTCCTTTTATTTCTTTTTCCTAGTGACAGAAGGTGAATTCATTTGTGTTTTTTCCCTGTGTGACTGGTGATCATATGGGGCTGGGTTTGGAATTCCCCATTTAAGGATAGCCTGAAACACCTTAGTGCTAAAGAGCAAGCCTGGGAGGATGAGGGGAGGGCCCCATGGTGTAGGGAATAGCGGCAATCATGCACAACAGGAGGGCTTATAATTGATCTCCTGGGATGAGCTCTCGGTTTTCTGATTTGCTGTTTAAAGTATGTTCAGGTGCCTTGTGGAGGAGGTGCTGAATCATCTCACGCTGCTCTCCAACTGGGTTTTAGCTTTTTCTGGCTTTCTTAGAGACACTTGGGGCCAAAAGATTTTTTGAAAAAAAGTTATACTCTGTGTAGACATTGCATGCCCTCCCCAACACTTCATTGCAGCGGTTTTGTTTCTCAGGTTTCTTCTCTCTCTGGCCTCTTGTAAGAAGTGTCTCGTCATTGATGACCAGCTCAATATCCTGCCCATCTCCTCCCATGTTGCCACCATTGAGGCCCTGCCTCCCCAGACTCCGGTGAGTCTGTGCTGGGGTCCAGGAATCTGGGGGAGGCTGTGTTTTCTCTGTTGTTCTTCCTGTGGCAGTGACAGACCTTCCCCTTCTCCTCTCTCTGGTAGGATGAGAGTCTTGGTCCTTCCGATCTGGAGCTGAGGGAGTTGAAGGAGAGCTTGCAGGACACCCAGCCTGTGGGTGTGTTGGTGGACTGCTGTAAGACTCTAGACCAGGTGAGTGTAGTGCTCAGAACTTCCAACACAAAGGTAGAATATAGCATACGGAGCGCAACAGAAGCCGAGGTACGTTGACCCAAGACTCAGACCCTCCTTGGAGAAGGGGGCTTTTCCCCTTGCTCATACTCGTGTGTGCTCAGCAACAGTAGGGCTATTTCATGTTGTCTGGGTTCACAGAAGAAGTCTAGGGATTACCCCCTCCAGTCAGGGGACAGATGGAGCAGATGAATTATTATTTTTTAAAAGACGGAGTCTCGCTCTGTCACCCAAGCTGGAATGCAGTGGCATGATCATGGCTCACCGTAACTTCGAACCCCTGGCCTCAAGCAGTCCTCCTGCCTCAACCTCCTAAGGTGCTGAGATTACAGGCATGATCCACTACATCTGGACAGGTTACATTGAAAGAGGAATGCTCTCACCACTTTTTCCAAGAGTGGGCAATATACCTGTGTTCTTCGATTTCAGTTAAGTTTTGATAATATAAAGGTTTTGCCTACAGCTTATTCAGAAGTGAGAGGAGAACTTGAGGCCCCTAGTCTGGTATTTACCCTGGTTCCAGTGTGAGGCCTGATGAGGGCCGGGCCCTCTGGGGTGATATGTACCTGGTCTTTCAGTGCAAATAGCAGGCTGGGTGAGAGCTGCCAGGATGCATTTCTGTGCTCACCGAGGTGGTCTGCACTGGTAAACTTGGCTTCCCTGGTAGTTCCTGGGCCATGATGGGAACTGACTGGGTACAGCCCAGAGGTCTTTGAACTGTCAGGTGTGTTCAGGGTTCTAGGTCAGCTTGAGCCAAATGAGCAACATGGGTTGCTGCCCTTGAGAAGGAAGATAGCTGCAGTGACACCTCCCACTTAGGGCTGAGTTCCAGCAGGCTGGCTTCTCTTTTCATTCTGGAAATATGATCAGCAGCTACATAGCTCTTTATGCAGCTCTGGCTGCAGGCCCTAGGCTTTTTTGATTCACTTCCTGGTACCCTCTGTATCCAAAAGAGAAGGAGTGAGCGATAGGATAAAGCAGGAGAGACTGATTCTAGTTAAGTAGTGTTATAAGAAAACAAATGGCCTATGACAAAAAAAACAAAAAGTTAATAGAAAAAGAGTACATAAAGAAATAAGAAGTGGTGTTTCCACTTGGCAGTTTTACTCTGCAGAAACAGCTGCTGTTAACAGTTTATTATGTATCCTGCTGCCTCTTTTTTCATGCACATAAATGAATTAAATGCAAAGGGGTCATGCTACAGAGTGTAAGTGGTCCACTGTTAGACATTTGGATTGATTCCAGCATTTCCACTATTAGAAACAGTGCTCTTAGGGGATTCTTACAGGTAAGTCTGTGGGCACTGTGTTTAGGATACGTTTCCAGAAGAGAAATTGCTGGATCAGAGGTTGTGTGTATTCAAATGGGTGTTGTACCAGTTGATGGAACTATCCAGTGTGTGGAAATGCCTTTTTCCCTACACCCTTGCAACAGTGATTCCTATTAAACTTGTAAGTTTTTTCCAATCTGATATGAGACATATAGGAGAGAGGAGGATACCTCCTTCATACAATTATTGGTCATCTGTTGTTTTGTTGTTGTTGCTGTTGGTTTTTTTCTTTCTTTTTTTTTTTTTTTTTGGTCAGCCAGTCTGCTTATTTCCTCTGCCCACTTTTTAGTTGGATTTTGGCCTTTTTTATATTGGTTCTTCATTTTAGGATGCGTTTTAGTCTAGATTTGGTACCTTTCTGTTATGTCATTGGATTTTTCAGAGTTTATAACTTCCATAATATAAAACAAAAGGGTAAAATATAGCCTTCAGGCAAGGCCCAGTTAAGTAGGACCTGGATTCCCTTTGAGTGTTTTCATCTGGAGAAACTCTGGCTTCCTGAAGCCTCTCCCCTTCCATCTACCTTGGCCTGTGTCTCTTCAGTGTCTTCTTAGCATCATTGCTTAGGCAAACTTCCTCAGGACCATCTGGCCTTCTTCCCACCCTCAAAGACATATTCCCAGCACAGATCCAGCTGAGGAGCACAGTTTGGGCCGTAAGTAGTTAGTGGCTCCTGTCCTTCTGTGTCACTGGCACCTTGCTTTTGCTTCTAGGTTCTCCTCTAGGCACTGGGGCCCAGCAGTAGGCAAGAGGGATGCGCCTGCTTCATGGAGCTTGCCTCCTAGTGAGATGAGACAGTCAGTAAATGAAAGACATGAGCAGATCATGTGGTGAAGCAGAAGATGCTGTGTACAATGGGGAAAAAAGAAAACGTTGCAAAGAGGGATAGGGCATGACAGCTGAGGGTAGGGTGCTGCGGTTCTACATACAGGGGGCAGGGGTGGCCTCATGCAGGAGGTGATTTTGGAGCCAAGCCATGAAGGAGGTGAGGTGAGGTGAGGAAACAAGCCCTGTGGCTCTTGGGGAGCCAGTGCTTCAGGCAGAGGGAGCAGCACGTGCGTGGGCCTGGGGTAGGGATGTCCCTCTGTGTTCCAGGCCTGGCAGGGAGGCTGAGGGGCTGAAGCAGGGTGAGTGGGTATGGAGGAGGAGATTTTTGGAGGATCTTTCAGGCTACTGGCAGGGCTTTGGCACTTACTCTATAAGAGATGGGAGCAGTGGAAGCTTTTATGTCCATAGTCTCCTCTCAGCATAGCTGCCAGAGGCATCCCCAGACTTCTTTTTAAGAGGATCCTCTGGCTGCCGTGTTGCAGATAGACTGGTGGGGTGAGGATGGCAGTAGGAAGACTAGTCAGGAGGCTGCTGTCATGATGGAAGAAGGATAGGGTGGTGGCTTTGCGCAGAGCAGTAGAGGAGGATAGTGGTGTAAGGAATGGTAGGATTTTATATATGTTTTGGAGGTAACAGGATTTGCTGACGAATCAAGTTATCAGGGAAGAACTGAGGAGACTTTGGCCCAAGCAGTTGGGAAAGACTAGGTGGAGGAGGTTTGGGGCAACTTTAGGCGTTCAGTTTCAAGTTTGAGATCTGTAGTGTACAAATGGGAATGTGCAGGAAGCAGTTGCATGTGTATAAAAGTTTGGTGTGGGCCAGCTGGGTGTGGTGGCTCTCATCTGTAATCCCATCACTTTGGAACACTGAGGTGGGTGGATCACGAACGAGGTCAAGAGATGGAGACCATCCTGGTCAACATGGTGAAACTCTGTCTCTACTAAAAATACAAAAATTAGCTGGGTGTGGTGGTGTGTGCCTGTAATCCTAGCTACTTGGGAGGGGTGAGGCAGGAGAATCGCTTGAACCCAGGAGGTGGAGGTTGAAGTGAGCTGAGGAGGTGGAGGTTGAAGTGAACCCAGGAGGTGGAGGTTGCACCACTGCACTCCAGCCCCTGGTGACAGAGCGAGACTCTGTCTCAAAAAAAAAAAAAAAAAAAAAAAAAAAAAAAAAAAAAAGTCTGGTGTGGGCCAGGCGCCATGGCTCACGCCTGTTAATCCCAGCACTTTGGGAGGCCAAGGTGGGCAGATCACCTGAGGTCAGGAGTTCGAGACCAGCCTGGCCAACATGGCGAAACCCCATCTCTACTAAAAATATAAAAATTAGCCGGGCTTGGTGGCATGCACCTGTAATCCCAGTTAGGAGGCTGAGGCAGAAAAATCGCTTGAACTTGTGAGGCGGAGGTTGCAGTGAGCTGAGATCGCACCACTGCACTCCAGCCTGGGCAACAAGAACGCAACTCCATCTAAGAAAAAAAAAAAAAAGTCTGGTGTGCAGGGAAGTGCTCCAGACTGAAGCTGTAAATTTGAATTATCAGCATCTATTAATAATTGGTACGGTAGGCCTTGAGACTGACAGGAGATGACCAAGGGAGTGAGAAGTCCAGGTGCTGAGCAGTGCTCTCTGGCCTGCAAGAACTGCCGCCCTCTTATTTAGCCTGGCATCAACCTCACTTCTCCACAGTGATGGTGGTGAATGGCAGAAACTTGGACCTTTCTTGGAGTTCACCTAACGTGTCTCTCTTTCCACAGGCCAAAGCGGTCTTGAAATTTATTGAGGGCATCTCTGAAAAGACCCTGAGGAGTACTGTTGCACTCACAGCTGCCCGAGGACGGGGAAAATCTGCAGCCCTGGGATTGGCGATTGCTGGGGCGGTGGCATTTGGGTAAGGGGATTTGATCCCCCATCTTTAGGAACTCTGGGCGCTGTGGGGGTAGTGTGCAGGGTTGGGGTCAGAGGACTGGTATCTGATGTTCCTAGTTCTGAGTTCTGAGTGGGTTCTGTGTGTGATTTCTCTAGGTCTTGATTTCCTGCCGGGAAACAGCAGCAGTGTTTCCCCAACCCACCCTAAAGGTGCATGTTTACTTGTGTGGAAACATAGACACATATATACCAGGGCCTTTGTAATCACTATTTACAGTTGAACAAACATGCAGAAGCAAAGAAATGGGAGTAAGAAACTTTACACCTCTCAGGGCATGAGAATATGTGTGACCAGCCTTGCTGACTGAGAAAAGTACAAGTTTGACATTTTAATGATTTTGATTAAGAGAAGCTTTCTTTGGCTTCTGAGGAGCTGGTTTTAGGTGTGATGTTACTTTCTGTTCTTTTCTGTTGGGTATGGAAGATACATGCAACTGCCAGTAGAGTATGTTCTTCCAACTTCTCAGCCATAATAATGCACCTAGAACTTACTGTGTTTGCTTTTGTGCATTATCTTCCTTGGTGCTCTTTAGAGCTCTGTGGGCATTTTATAGATGAATCAACCCAGGTTTGGGGAGTTCCAGTGATTTACCCAAGATCCTCCAGCAGGTCAGTGCTGGTAGAGCTGGGGCTTGAGCTTAGCTCCTGACTCCTTATCCTTCGTTCTTCGTGCTGCTCTAGCTCTAACTGTCAGCCTCTTAGCCATTAGTATCTGCTGTTAGCATCCTTTATACTCAGCAAGGCAAAGCTAACTTGGAGGTTAGCTTTGGCCTTGGCCTGAGCACCGATTGAGCTCTCCAGCTTCACCATTTGAAAGTCTCAGCACAGCTAGTGATGGACGTGAAACTACTTACTGTAGCAGTGCCCTGGATTGGGGAGCAGTCTGTCTGTTCTGCACACTGAGGGCGTTGTCTCCACAGTGCTTCTAAGCAATTTGCTGTCACAGATGTTGGTAGCTAAATGTCTGGAGTTGCTTTGCTTTCCTTCCTAAAAGGTGTCCTGACTTTTTCCCTTGCTGTTACCTCTGGTTATCACCTTTGGGACAGGAGCAAACAAAAATATTTTCTTTTTTAAATTGTTTCTTTAAAATGTTCCTAATTTCTTAAAAATCCTTCTTTTATTTTGTTCTGTAGGTACTCCAATATCTTTGTTACCTCCCCAAGCCCTGATAACCTCCATACTCTGTTTGAATTTGTATTTAAAGGATTTGATGCTCTGCAATATCAGGTAGGAAATTTGGATTAAGAATTTTTATTTTGGACCAGGCGTGGTGGCTCACGCCTGTAATCCCAGTACTTTGGGAGGCTGAGGTGGGCGGATCACCTGAGGTCAGGAGTTCGAGACCAGCCTGACCAACATAGAGAAACCCCATCTCTACTAAAAATACAAAATTAGCTGGGCGTGGTGGCACATGCCTGTAATCCCAGCTACTTGGGAGGCTGAGGCAGGAGAATCGCTTGAACCCGGGGTGGGCAGAGGTTGCAGTGAGCTGAGATCACGCCATTGTACTCCAGCCTGGGCTCGAAACTCCATCTCAAAAAAAAAAAAAAAAAAGGATTTTTATTTTGATACAGTGCTGGGTTTAAATCCAAGTGAGGTCTTTAGAATGCTTGCTTACTTTCATAATATTTAGTTTCTAAAACTTGTTTCTAAAGTTTGTCATTGGTTTGACTCCCCACCAGGAACATCTGGATTATGAGATTATCCAGTCTCTAAATCCTGAATTTAACAAAGCAGTGATCAGAGTGAATGTATTTCGAGAACACAGGCAGACTATTCAGGTGAGGCTTGTTCTCAGACCCTGATGTGCAGGGCCAGTGTCTTGCTGTATTTTACTGGCTCTAAGATGTTTCCTGTTATAGACATGCATGTCTTGTGTAATTGCATCTCTTTTAGACAATGGTGGTGTTTGCTAAACCTGTTCCAGATTTTCAGCCTCTTCTAAAGAAAAACATTCAGCAAACTAACAAATATATGTAGTTAGATTGAAAAGTTGTGTTTTTGTCCTTTGAATATGGAATAAGTGGGGTGGAAAGTATACTGATTAATTAAAAGAGAATCTTTCTTCTGACATCAGTTCTAACTTTGCTTAGTTATTGCAGTTTTTGAAATGTTGCATCTGTAACTAGAACAATAACCTTACAGCTTAAATGAAAAAAAGAACTTTGCAAAATGTGCTCTGAATCTTTGTGGTTTAGCCAGTGGCCTATTTTCTTTTTTAAACAGTGTTTTCCCGAAAGTTCTAAAAATCTCCAGCACTCTGTAAGCCTGAATGGTCTGCACTTGTCCAAAGGCTGCAGTTTTGCTAAATCTCTAGGAGAGGCATGAGGTGACGGGCTTACAGATGGACTGAGACTAATGGGCTCTTACTGGAGGAAGTTCATTGATTGTTTTTGGAATTGGGTTGGGAAGTGAGCCAGGTGAATTTGGCAGTTTGTACCCTAGCATTTTATGCCTGTCAAAGCATATGTATATGCATGTCAAATAAGTTATACCTTTGTATCAGAGGCCAGATTATAAACAATATTAAGTGTTTATGCCCTTTACCTTAATTTTTTCTTACTAGTCTCTTTCTAGAATCTCTTCATTCTGTATATTTCTTCTCACTTTTGCTTGATTCTCCCAGCTGGGAGGAGGACAGGCTGCTGTTGGTGAGGGTCAGGCTGCAGGCAATGAGAACACGGAGACCTGTTAAAACTCAAGAAAAATACACAAACCGAAGAAGGAAAACATTTCCTTGAAATGCCCTGCCTCGGGCCTTGCTCCTTCTTGAATTTGTAATCAAATACTCTCTCATATTACCAGAGTTCTTTTGTCTCCAGTGTGAGCACAGAGGAGGTGACCTTACTTTATGAGATTCCATTTGTGTTCCTTTCAGGCCTCTCTTTGGTCTCAACATTGAGAAAAAGAAGAATATTAGATAAAAGTTGGCTTCACCTCCCTTGGGGGGCTGCTTTCTGCTGCTTTTATGAGATGCTTGTTTAGTTTTTCCCTTGAAAAATCTAAGATCTGGGGCCCTGTTGAGGATGTACATTCTGCTGCTAGCAATGAGTGGGGTTGGCCGGGCACGGTGGCTCATGGCTGTAATCCCAGTGCTTTGGGAGGCTGAGGTGGGCGAATCACTTGAGGTCAGGAGTTGGAGACCATCCCGGCCAACGTGGTAAAATCCCATCTCTACTAAAATTAAAAAAAATTAGCCAGGCATGGTGGCATGCGCCTGTAATCCCAGCTACTCGGGAGGCCAAGGCAGGATAATTGGTTGAACCCGAGAATTGGTTGAACCCTGGAGGCAGAGGTTGCAATGAGCCGAGATCATTCCACTGCACTCCAGCCTGGGCGACAGAGTGAGGCTTTGTCTCAAAAAATAAAAAAAAGAAATGGTTGAGGTTGCCGCCTCCCTGGCTCATCAACTTGTAGCAAAGCAGTTAGAACATCTTATTTGTAATGAAATAGTTCAAATGTATAGGAGAGTGCAGAGACCAATATAACATTCAGGTGCCCAACACTCAGGTTTAAGTATTGTTGACATTTTGATGTTTGCTATGTTTGTTTCATATTTTAAATGTCACTTAGATTTTTGTTTTAAAGAACTAAAACATCACAAATACAGTTGAAGTCCCTCAACCCCTTTCTATCCTATTCCCTTCTGTCCCTCCCCAGGGGTGACTCATTTCTGATACTGGTATGTGTCCTTTCAGTTAATGTGTTTCTATTTTTACTACATAATTATCTGTCCATAGGTTACCGTAACATACTATACTTGTTCTCCTTCATCTTTCCTTTTCTAACATTTGTTTTCAAGATCTATGCAGATTAAAGCTTGTAGATCTGGTTGATTCATCTTTAGGTGTTATATAAGTAAATTATATTTACATGTATGTTTCTCAAAGTGGAATTGTTGGGTTTTAGGAGTTTGTAGTTTTCCAGCTTTCTTAAAATTTGCCAAATTCTCTTTCATAGTGTTTATATCAATTTACCCCCATGCCAGCATTCATTTGAGTTTTAATTTCTCTAAGAGCTCACCAACTCTGGACGTTTTACAGCTATTTAAGTTTTGGGAAATGGTATCTCCCTGCTGTCTTTAGCATTTCACTGATTATTGGTGAGGTTGAATATCTTTGTTTATGTTAATTGGTTATTCGGGTTTCCTATAAGATACCTCTTCATTGCTTTTCAAATCACTTTAAACTTAGCAGGAAGCCCTGAAGAAACTGAAGAGGTTGTTTGTATGCATAAAGATAAGTAAGTGTGCATGTATTAAGAAAATAACAAGTTCTAGAAATGTCTGTCAGCAGGGAGACTTGGCCTTTATAATCATGCCATCAGAGCAGGGAGCACAGTGCCCGGCATGAGAAATCCGACATCTTCCTTTATAGCCACCACTGGGGTCGAGCTGTGCCTTGAGCTCATCGGCTTCCCTTATCTGAGGCTGGGGGAAAACACGAGGAGACAAAGGAGAGAAAGGAAAGGGAGCCACCATCTATCTATCAGCACTGTGAGTCAGGCACTGGGCAGGGCATTTTTACATACCTGCTTTATTTTTCCCTCAAGCAGCCATAAGATAGGTATTTCCTTCACTTTACAGGAGGAGGAATCTGAAGCACTGTGGGATTAAGTGACTTGTCCAAGGTCACATGATCAGGGGCTGAACTCTCTGAACCCAGGTGTCTGACTCCAACCCCATCCCATTTTTGCCCTGCCAGGAAAAAGTAGAAAGGAGGAATGAGAGGAGAGAAGGAAACAGGCAGAGAGAGGAAAGAGAACAGCCTTTATGATGAGTCACCAGTAATCGCAGCTGTGACATGAGTTCGCTATGCTAATAATCTAAATTTTCCTTCCCCACAGTATATACATCCTGCAGATGCTGTGAAACTGGGCCAGGCTGAACTAGTTGTGATTGATGAAGCCGCCGCCATCCCCCTCCCCTTGGTGAAGAGCCTCCTTGGCCCCTACCTTGTTTTCATGGCATCCACCATCAACGGGTAAGGCACCGTAAGCAGGAGTCCTTACTCCCGTGGCAGGCTCTTGCAGATTCAGGGACATGTAGCGGATGTGGCCTGGGCCTGGACAGCTAAGTCTGATTCTCAGAGTCTCTGAGTGTTTGGGGCTGCTTCGCTCTCTACTGGCCTTCTGCAAATGGAAACTGGTCTCTTAATGAACTGTTACATGTCTCTGGCCCGACATGAAATGGGCAGCATAAGACTAAAGAATTATAGTCTTATGTGCTGAGTGTCTGCTTCTGTCTGTGTGAGAAAATGTTGAAAAATACATGGATGGCGATACCAATACCTTATATCTTAGAAAATATAGTATTAAAGTACTATAGTTATCGTAAGAAAGCAAGCTCATAATGACATGAGTGTTTTTTTTAATTTGAAATATTTAATTTTTAAATTTGAAATATTTAGTGTTTGCTATTGAAAAATTACAACAGGTAAGCAAAAGAAAAATCACCTGTAGCCAGGTGCGGTGGCTCACGCCTGTAATCCCAGCACATTGGGAGGCTGAGGCAGGCGGATCACAAGGTCAGGAGTTCGAGACCAGCCTGACCAACATGGTGAAACCCCGTCTCTACTAAAAATACAAAAAAATAGCTGGGTGTGGTGGCGCGTGCCTGTAATCCCAGCTACTCAGGAGGCTGAGGCAGAAGAATTGCTTAAATCCAGGTGGCGGAGGCTGCAGTGAGGCCGAGATTGCCTCACCGCACTCCAGCCTGGGCGACAGAGCGAGACTCTGTCTCAAAAAAAAAAAAAAAAAAAAGAAAGAAAAGAAAGAAAAATCACCTGTAATTTAACCATCTGGAGATAGATTTTGTTAGAATTTTGGTGTACATTTTCTCTGCATTTACTTTTTTCATTTGAACAAAAACATTTTTAATTTGCTTTTTGAATATAACAATGTATTGTGAAATCTTTTGAGGTCGTTAAATATCTATCTCCAATATTGGGAAGATTTCTGTATGGAAATCACATCTTAAAGAGATTATTCTGTATGCAGATTTATTGTGACTGTTTTGCTTACACTGAAAATACTGAAATAAAATGGGTTTTTATTTTTCGAACAGCTTTATTAAGATATAATTCACATACTGTACTATCTATCCATTTAAAATATGTAATTTAATGGTTTTTAGTATGTTCACAGAGTTGTACAACCATGCTCACAACCAATTTTAGAACATTTTTATCACCCCATAAAGAAGCCTGTGCATCCTCTTCCAGTTCCTCCACAGCCCCCAACCCCAGGGAGTCACTAATCTATTTTCTTTAGCCATAGATTTGCCTATTTTGGACATTTCATATAAATGGAATTATAAAATATGTGGTCTTCCATGACTGACTTGCAGCGTATATCAGTATTTCATTCCTTTTTGTGGTTGAATAGTATTCTATTGTATGGATATACCACATTTTATTTTTCCTTTTATCTGTTGGTGGACATTTGGGTTATTTCTCCCTCTTGGCTGTTATTAATAATCTTGCTTTGAACGTTAGCGTGCAGATTTTTGCGTGGACATGTTTTTCAGTTCTCTTAGGGATACACCTAGGAGTGAAACTACTGGGCTAACTCTATGTTTGACCATGTGAGGAGCTGGCAGACTCTTCCAAAGCAGTTGCACATTCTACATTCCCACCAGCAGTGTGTGAGGGTTCTGACTTTTCTGTATCATCGCACACACTTTTTATGTTTCATTGTGATTATAGTCATTCTAATAGGAGTGAAGTGACCTCTCATTATAATTTTCATTTGCATTTCCTGGTGACTAATGATGTTAGCATCTTTTCATGTGCGTGTTGGTCACTCATGTATCTTCTTTGGAGAAATGTCTATTCATATCCTCTGTTCATCTCTCTCATTGGGTTGTCTTTTTTAATGATTTGTAAGGGTTCTTTATATCTTCTTGATAGCAGGTCCCTTATCAGATGTGATTTACAAAAATTTTCTCCCATTCTATGGGTTTTTTCACTTTCTTTCTTTTTTCTTTTTCTTCTTCTTTTTTTTTTTATGAGACAGACTCTCACTCTGTTGCCCAGTCTGGAGCGCAGTAGCATAATCTTGGCTCACTGCAACCTTCACCTCCCAGATTCAAGCGATTCTCTTGCCTCAGCCTCTTGAGTAGCTGGGATTACAGGTGTGTACCACCATGCCCGGCTAACTTTTGTATTTTTAGTAGAGACAGGATTTCACTATGTTGGTCAGGCTGGTCTCAAACTCCTGATCTCAGGTGATACGCCCGCCTCCCAAAGTGCTGGAATTATAGGCATGAGCCACTGCACCTGGCCACTGTCTTTATTATAATGTCCTTTGACGACAAAAGTTTTTAAGTTTTGTTGCTTGTGCTTACTCTATTTTCTTTTTTTTTTTTGTTCTGTCGCCCAGGCTGGAGTGCAGTGGTGCGATCTCCACTCACTGCAAGCTCCGCTTCCCGGGTTCACACCATTCTCCTGCCTCAGCCTCCCGTGTAGCTGGGTTCACACCATTCTCCTGCCTCAGCCTCCCATGTAGCTGGGACTACAGGCGCCCGCCACCGCGCCCGGCTAATTTTTTTTTAATGTATTTTTAGTAGAGACGGGGTTTCACTGTGTTAGCCAGGATGGTCTCGATCTCCTGACCTCATGATCCGCCCGTCTCGGCCTCCCAAAGTGTTGGGATTACAGGCGTGAGCCACTGCGCCCAGCTCTATTTTCTTAAATAAGTAAATGGAATACCTTTGGGAGAGCTTTGTTATGTGGGGTGGAGAGTGGGAATAAAACACTCATTCTAGCTTTTATAATTTGAGTAAGAGGAGGTATTTTACAGTCTTTGAATATAATAATGAGTACTATGAAATGAGGTAATGAAAAAAAGTGCTCTGTGTACCCTGTGGTCACATATGCTTGTGACTAAAGACAAGGAGAAGAAACTCAGCAATGAAGGCTGATTGAGTTATCAGATTATAGGTGATTTAATTTTTTCCCAACATTTTTTAGCTGTTTTATGTCACCTTTTAAGTGGGCATAGTAATGAAAAGAATTTCTGAGGTGGTGGATTTGTTTTATTACCCAAACTGGAAATGTTCTCAGTTCATTTCCTTATGCACCATACTTCCAAAAGCAGCTCCGTTAGTTGACCATTTAACTTTGTTCCAGCTTCACTAAAACTGCCTAAAGCCTTTATGCCAAAGGCTTTACTTACACCCTTTTTCCAGTCCTTATTTTTTAAGTTCACATCACAGTCCTGTGAAGTGTATAGAATAATCCCCCCTTGAAGATGAGGCTAAAAGAGATTGAACTCCTTGCTCAAAGATACTAAGTAGATGAGCCAGGATGTGAGCCCAGGCCTGGGTGGCCCCTTGCTGAGCCACCGTGCCACCCTGCCGCCTCTGGACAGGTGCCTGCTGTGCTGGAAGTTCAGAGATGAGGAAGGCTGTCCTGGGGGAAGCAGGGATCTGATGTTTCAGCAGGTGGAGGAAAGCAGCCCTCTATCCCCTCCTAGACAGTGGTTTGGTACCTCATGCCTGATTCCTTTTGCCTTTGCTTCTAGCTATGAGGGCACTGGCCGGTCACTGTCCCTCAAGCTAATTCAGCAGCTCCGTCAACAGAGCGCCCAGAGCCAGGTCAGCACCACCGCTGAGAATAAGACCACGACGACAGCCAGATTGGCATCAGGTACCCCAGAACCTGACCTGGGCCCCGCGGTTCACAGCAAGGCCCTTCAGACTTGCCGATCCTTGCTTCCCCTGTGACATCATGGGCAGCACCAAACCTTCCCACCATCAGGCTAGGAGGTTGAGTCCCCAAGAGGAGAAGTAGCTTTTCTCGGCCAGTGACCAGATGGGAGCCAGACTAGGGCCTTCTGATGGCGGGGTCCTTGTGTGTCCTTGTCTCGGCATGGTTGCGTTGAGATCCCTTTGAAGTTGGTATCGTGGCAAGTTGAATATCCACCAAAAACAATTTTAAACCACCCAGTTTAAATTCTTACCACACGTCTCTGGCCACCATGGGACAAATATAAAGTGAAACATTTTTCCTTGCTTGTTTAGACAATACATATTTAATCATTGTTTCTTCTTTTGTGTGTGTGATTGTGGGGAGCAGCGCGGACACTGCATGAGGTTTCCCTCCAGGAGTCAATCCGATACGCCCCCGGGGACGCAGTGGAGAAGTGGCTGAATGACTTGCTGTGCTTGGATTGCCTCAACATCACTCGGATAGTCTCAGGCTGCCCCTTGCCTGAAGCTTGTGAACTGTATCCTCCTCTAGGTTTCACTGGCCCTGTGAAAAGGAGAGGGGCGGTGTAAGAATTCAAAGGATTTGGGCCCTTTGTTTCATAGGATGCTGCTCTAGAGAAAGGGGAAAGTTGAACATTTTCAATTTCCTTTTTCTCTTCTTCCTTCTTTTTTTTTTTTTTTTTTTTTTTTTGAGACAGAGTCTCGCTCTGTTACCAGGCTGGAGTGCAGTGGCGTGATATCGGCTCACTGTAACCTCTGCCTCCCGGGTTCAAGCAGTTCTCATGCCTCAGCCTCTCGAGTAGCTGGAATTACAGGCGTACGCCACCACACCTGGCTAATTTTTATATTTTTAATAGAGATGGATTTCACCATGTTGGTCAGGCTGGTCTTGAACTCCTGACCTTGTGATCCGCCTGCCTCAGCCTCCCAAAGTGCTGGGATTACCAGCGTGAGCCACCACGCCCGGCCCTCTTCTTCCTTCTTTTATGTGTTTCTGCTTAGGACACTGAGCTCCTGTTCCCATCTAGGGAAATTTGTTCTGCCTCCAGAGAGTAGTATGACCAGTCTTGGGCTGCTTGTTTTGTTTTGGTTTCTTAACTCCAGACCCAGCTACTACGTTAATAGAGATACTCTCTTTTGCTACCACAAGGCCTCTGAAGTTTTCCTCCAGCGGCTTATGGCCCTCTACGTGGCTTCTCACTACAAGGTAACTGCAGCTAGCCCTTGTGTGAATGTCAGCAGGGAGCTTCAGCATTTCGCAGTCCCCTTTTACCTGATTTACATCTTTTATTACCTAGTGGCTTAGGTGACTGTTCCATTGGGACATTGATGAGGTCCACCGATCTTGCTGTGTGTAGGTATAGAGCGTGGAGCTCCATGCAGTAGCTGGACAGGGTGGAAAGCCGTGCCCATTTTTAAAGGGCTGCTTTCATTTCTTGCCTGCCTACTAAACTGATAGGATGAGGTGACATTGCAGTTGTGGCCCGGTGGTGCAGTTTGACCTGAGACCAGCTTTGTAGCTCTGGGCTATTTTTATGAAACAGTGCATTTGAGAGTTTAGAATATCTGAGACTCTTAAAAACGAAAGGGTTGGTTAGAAAGGATACTTTTTTTTTTTTTTTTTTTGAGACGAAGTCTCGCTCTGTCGCCCAGGCTGGAGTGCAATGGCCGGATACTTTTTGAATGTCTAGGTAGTATTTTTATGAACAGCCTGTAACGGAAGGCTTGAAGAGTTGGCGTTAGAAGTGGTGACAGTTTTTCCTGAAATAGCAGCCTCTTATCTGTAAAAAGTTCACTTCCTAGCTGTGAAATAAGTAGTGCTAAATAAATTCTCTTCTGCTGTCCAGCCTCAGTGCTTGGGATGAGAGGACAGTAGGCGTTTGGGGCTAAGTTTGACTTAACTTGTTATGAAGAGTCTCAGACTTGCCAAAATACTAGAAGAGTGCTTTGCTGGAGCTCCTCACTTGGCTTTGAGAAGGCAATACTGCAGTCATCCTGTGGTTTTGAATCGAACCTCTTATGTTAAGGGCAAGAGGAAGAGTGCTTCTCACTGACCCGTGTTTGGCTTCCACAGAACTCTCCCAATGATCTCCAGATGCTCTCCGATGCACCTGCTCACCATCTCTTCTGCCTTTTGCCTCCCGTGCCCCCCACCCAGAATGCCCTTCCAGAAGTGCTTGCTGTTATCCAGGTATAGGAGCAGAGGCATCCTTGTGGCAGTGATTTGGGGAACCACTGATGCATCAGGAATTAGTGGCTCAATAACTGCATTGTGGGAGTTTTGAAACTGTGGAGTCCTAGTCTGGAACCAAGGGGCTGGGTCTGCTGAGACAGGTGACTAGGGTGCACTGGAAGAGGTCAGTGCCACTAGACACCCAAAGCTCCGCTGTTCGTGGACGGGGAAAAGCCAGAATCGACCACTCTCTTATTTTGACTCACAGCTTCTTCCACAAACAGACTTGTTTGTTTTCTCCCTTTATTACAAAAGCAATACATGGTGCTTTTTGCATTAGAGGCTACAGATTGGGGAACCAATTTTTAATGCCTAGCATGGATGTATTTATGCATTTCTGTATCACTTTTCCTTTTCATATACATGGGAACGCAGTATTTAGTAATCTGCTTTTACTTTTAGGCAGTGTTAAAATACTCATAAGTTTTAAAAGCTGTGTAGTATTTCATTATATGCATGTACCATGATTTGTTCAACCATTCACTTGCTAGACATTTGAGTTGTTTTGAACTTGTGCTGTTCTGTGCAGAGCCTCATGAGCATCCTGTGTCTTGATGACATTGGCACACTCACAACATGCATAGAGACTCTCTTCCAATGTGGCTGTTACTTTTTGGGTCAGGAGGCTGTCTTCTGTCTTGTAACATGGGGCATGGTAGTTAAGCTCCTGTTAGGAATGGATGTGTCAGTCAGTGTCAGGGTTAAACCTGAACACGGGTGTGGAAACAACTGGCCTAGTCGGAGAAGCAAGCTTTATTCTGTGAGTGGGCTGTGTATCAGAGCTGGCCTTTCTTCCTGCACTGTCCTGCTTCCCCAACAGGTGTGCCTCGAAGGGGAGATTTCTCGCCAGTCCATCTTGAACAGTCTGTCTCGAGGCAAGAAGGCTTCAGGGGACCTGATTCCATGGACAGTGTCAGAACAGGTGATGGGCTTTCCCTGGCATGTCTGAGGGAAGCTGGCGGTGTCTGAAGATGTCTGTGTTGCTAAGTTATTGGTTTGTGTCTCCCACACAGTTCCAAGATCCAGACTTTGGTGGTCTTTCTGGTGGAAGGGTCGTTCGCATTGCTGTTCACCCGGATTATCAAGGGGTAATGTGTCCTCAGGCTCCCCTGAAGCCGTGTTGCTGGCGGCACTTTAGGGCGGGGGGTACTTGGTGGTTGGAATAAGAAGATGGTCAAGCAGAAGCAAGTGAAGTGTAGGTACTTCCCTGCTCTGGAGAATTTAGCCAGGGTTCGGGGTGGGCAGGTGGACAGGATGATGGCATATGCCCACTCTTCCTTTGTGAGAGCAAGGACTTGTGAACCAGACCCGCATACCAAAATTACCTTCTTAGAACACCTCACTGGGTAATTGGCCGTAGAAGCTTCCTTTTCAGGCAGTGGTACGCAAACTGCCTCTCTTTTGGGCTTGCCCATCTGGAGACCAGAAACCACAGCCATCCTTACCGTCAAGTGGCTATTCTCGATGGGCTAGACCAGTGTTAAGAACTCGGGTCACACTGCTTTCAGTCTTAAGCGTCTCTGCTTTAGGACCTGATTGAGGAACTTCATTGGTTCTCTTGCCCCGTGCAGTTTGATGGGGAAGGTTCTCTAGAAGCAATACAGGGGAGTCACCATGGCTTAGACTGAGAGCAGCTCTCTTCCCTCTGCCTCTTCCCCTTCATGTTTACTCCTAGATGGGCTATGGCACCCGTGCTCTGCAGCTGCTGCAGATGTACTACGAAGGCAGGTTTCCTTGTCTGGAGGAAAAGGTCCTTGAGACACCACAGGAAATTCACACCGTAAGCAGTGAGGTAAGCGTCTTTCGACGAACTTTCTGCGTCCTGCTTCTTGGGAGGATAATTCTCTGGGTTTTTAGGGGCATCAACAAAAACCAGTCCAGAGCTTTGGGCCCCTCTCTCGTTTTCTTCTACTGCTGCTTTCTCCAACCGAACACTTGAGATCCTCAGATAAGTATCATTGGGATCATCTGGCAGCTTGTTAAAAATGTAAATTCTTGAGCCTCATTCCAGACCTACTGAATCAGAAACTCTGGGGTAGACCCTGTAATCTGTAGTTTAACAAGATTCTCAGGTGATTCTGATGCTTGTTCAAGTTGGAGAATCACTGCTCTATAATCTCTTTCATCCTACACTCAGACTAAGGGAAGTTCTGTCATTCCTTGATAAGAATGACTGATACTAGTAACTGTGACAGCCTTTCATGTGCATTCATTGATTTTCATAGTATGTCTATTTGGGAGCTGGGCAAGGGGCTTTTATTTAAGTTGAAGCAGCTGGGCAACATGGCAAAACTCCGTCTCTACAAAAAAATACAAAAATTAGCTGAGCGTGGTGGCACACACCTGTAGTCCTGGCTACTTGGGAGGCTGAGGTGGGAAGATTGCTTGAACCCCAGAGGTTGAAGCTGCATTGAGCCGTGATCTTGCCACTGGACTCCAGCCTGGGTGACAGAGCCAGACCCTGTCTCAAGCAATGAAAAAAAAAAAGTTCAAGCTCAGAGGTTTGTCACTTCCCAAGGCTGTCAGGTGATAGAACCTGGACTTCATGCTGGATCATAGGAACCTGTCTGTCCCTTTGTAAATCTGTCGGGCATTTCTTTTTTCTTTTTTCTTTTTTCTTTTCTTTTTTTTTTTTTCTCAAAGAGATGGAGTCTTACTCTGTCTCCCAGGCTGGAGTGCAATGGCATGATTTCAGCTCACTGCAACCTCTGCCTCCCAGGTTCAAGCAGTTGTCCTGCCTCAGCCTTCTGAGTAACTGGGACTACAAGCACACACCACTATGTCTGGCTAATTTTTGTATTTTTAGTAGAGATGGGGTTTTGCCATGTTGGCTAGGCCAGTCTCGAACTCCTGACCTCAGGTGATCCGCCTGCCTCGGTCTCCCAAAGTGCTGGGATTACAGGCATGAGCCACCACTCCCGGCGTCTGTCAGTCATTCCTAAACTCTGTGGCTGTCTTCCTGCATTCTGGAGGTCCAGAGCAGTGTGACTCCATGCATGTTGAGGTATTTTGTGTACGTGGGAATGATTGCTTGACTGTGGTGTTCCCATAGTTTGACAACCACAGCAACAAACCAAGAAACCTCTCCCAGTTTTTGTTGTGCTAAGTCCAGAGTGAGCTGTGGCAGGGTTGCTTGACAATGTCTCTCTCCCTGTGTCGAGTGGACTGTGTTCTCTCCTTGGCATCTTCACAGGCTGTCAGCTTGCTGGAAGAGGTCATCACTCCCCGGAAGGACCTGCCTCCTTTACTCCTCAAATTGAATGAGAGGCCCGCTGAGCGCCTGGATTACCTGGGTGTTTCCTATGGCTTGACCCCCAGGCTCCTCAAGTAAGTGCCTGCCCTCCTTCCTCAGCATCACTCCTTGGCATTGAGAAAGAAGAGTTCTGTGGGCTGTGTGTCTGTTGGTAGCTGGTGCCTGTGCTAGCCTGCTCTTCGTGGCCTGCTCTCCTGGTGCTTGCCCTTGTGTGTCTGTCAGCCGCTCCCCAGAGACCACACACACAGTACCTACTGTCTTTGTATCTTTGCAGGTTCTGGAAACGAGCTGGATTTGTTCCTGTTTATCTGAGACAGACCCCGGTGAGTGAGGCATCCAGCAGAGGAGAGGTTTAGGTTTGCCGTTGTGGTAGGTGACAGGCCTGTCCTTGCAAAGAGCCCTAGTGCATCCCTGCTGTGTCGCTCTGAGCAGGTGGCTGTGCCTCTGAAGAGGTTTATTCTGATGGACACGGAAACAGCCATCCTCAGGGACGAGCCATGTCATCACACATTTCTTCCCCGACTACATGGTGCATGCCTTGTGCTTAGTCATAAAATGGCAGAGGTGCACGTGGACTTGTTCATCAGATTCTGAGGAAGGAGAGTGGACAGGAGGATCAAGGGTAATTCCTAGAGTTTTGGCTTGAGAAACTGGGTGTTGGAGGTGCTGTCGGAGGTGGGACTCACTGCAGAAGGAGCAGATTTGGAGGGAAGAGTGGGAGTTCTTTTTTGACATTAATGTGAGATGCCTATTGGACATCCAAGTGGAAATGTGGACTAGGCATTTATTTGACTACAGTAATATGGAGGTAGGGAAGTTTGGGGCTAGAGATGGAGCTTTGGGAGCCATCAGCATATTCATAATAAAATGCACTGCACGAGGGCACGGAGCTCTTGTCTGTTTTGTTCCTTGCTGTATTCTTTGCACTTAGAGTAGCAATTGCTGTGTAGTATGTGTTCAGTAAATGCTTTTGTTGAGTGAAAGAAAAATATCTGGAGCCAGTGAAAGGACATGAGGGTGACTCCTTGGACCCTAACATTTAGAGGAATGAGGAGGAGGACACAGCACATACAGGACTGAGAAGGAACAGCCCTGATGCGCAGGAGAAAGTCGGGGTATGTCCACGTCGAGGTGAAGAAGTGGGAATGGGAGTCAGCCCTGTAGAGAGGATGAGGAGGATGAGGACAGCTGGCCATTGGATTCATCAGCAGCAGTGAGCTGCATTGAAGCAGCGGCAGTGGAGTGGAGGCTTTGGCCTGGCCAGAGGGAAGAGGAGGTGAAGAACTAGAAGGGGAACAGGCGACTCTTTCAGGAAGCGAAAGGGAGCAGAGAAACAAGGTCGCTGGAGGGAAATGGAAGCTAAAGGGGGATTGTCAGATGGGAGATTCTAGAGAATGTTTGTTTGCTGCTGGGTTCGATTCTGCAAGTAGTGGTATAGGTGAGGGGGGCTGACTGCCAGAGTGCAGGCCTTGAGGAAGTGGTGGGTGGGACTCGAGACTCAGGAAGGGAGGTGACCACCTACTTCATCCTTCGGACCCAGGGAAGGCAGAGAGCATGGGAATGGAAGGCATCAGTTGGCTGGCTGATTTGGGGTTGGGAGGATGATGACGATCTCTTCTGAGTGCTTCTGTCTTCCCAGATGAGGGGAGTCCATCGGCTGAGAGAGAAGTGTTGGAGGTTTAGGGCAAAGCCAGTATCCGAGGCTAGTGGCCAGTGTCCGTCCGAGGATTTAAAGTGGGACTGGTGAGGACCGCTGGGTGTTGGGCTGCTTCCGTGCAGGCAGGGAGCCGCAGAGATGGGTTGGTTCTCTGTCGGTGCGTTTGGTGGAGGCTAGGGATGTAAATTCGGCCATCAGCTGCAAGGAGAACGCAGGCTAGTGAGCTGCCGTGTGGTCTGTGGTGTGTCCATGTGGTCTTGTACTGTGCGCTGTTCATTTGTGACTTGATAGTGGTGTTTTTATGGTATGGGCTTTGTTGTTATGTAGTAGAAAATGTAAAAACAGTCGCAATTGGGAGGCCGAGGCGGGCGGATCACGAGGTCAGGAGATCGAGACCATCCTGGCTAACACGGTGAAACCCCGTCTCTACTAAAAATACAAAAAGAAATTAGCCGGGCGTGGTGGCGGGCGCCTGTAGTCCCAGCTACTCTGGAGGCTGAGGCAGGAGAATGGCGTGAACCCGGGAGGCGGAGCTTGCAGTGAGCCGATATCGCGCCACTGCACTCCAGCCTGGACGACAGAGCAAGACTCTGTCTCAAAAAAAAAAAAAAAAAAAAAAAAAAAAACAGTCGCAATTTTAGCACCTAAAGAACCCTGCACTTGCAGACTGGCTGCCAGCACTGAGATATAGGTTTTGTCCCTGGAGTTCCTGCTGTGAGGCACCAAACCCATGTAGACTGGATTGTGTGGAGCTTAAGCCCTAATGACTGAGTTCAGCATCCACCTGAGAGGAACAGGTATTTCCCTCCCGCAGGTCCCAAGCAAGAGGCAGGCCTGGAAGAGTGAGCACCTCTGCTCTGTGTCTGTGACGCTTTTGAGGAGATTGCAGGACAGTGATCTTTACAGCCCTTGCATGTGAACTGAGGTGATATGAGGAAGGTGAAGGCGAGGGCTGTGTTTGAGAAGGGTGCCTCTCCCAGCCCAGGTAGAAGGAGAGGCCTGCGGAAGCACCAAGCCTTTCTTCTCTGAGTGTTTACCCTTCATCAATGATGGGTTGTTCAAAAAACGGGGTTCTTGGTGCCAGTTGAACCTCTATGTTGTCCAGAATGACCTGACCGGAGAGCACTCGTGCATCATGCTGAAGACACTCACTGATGAGGACGAGGCTGACCAGGGAGGCTGGCTTGCAGCCTTCTGGAAAGGTGACTGAGGAGTGGGGGTTCTGGGGAGACAATGAGGTGATCGGGGGCTGCCGGGGATGCCTCCAGACCTCTTAACTCTGCGTGATGGCACCCCACAGATTTCCGACGACGGTTCCTAGCCTTGCTGTCCTACCAGTTCAGCACCTTCTCTCCTTCCCTGGCTCTGAACATCATTCAGAACAGGAACATGGGGAAGCCAGCCCAGCCGGGTGAGCCGGGCCGGGACAGGGAGGAGGGTTGGGAGTGGCTTGGCTGTGTCGGAGGTGGGTGTGGTGTCCTAGGAAGGGTGTGGGCTGGAAATTGAGGGCCTGGTTCTAGCCTGCAGTCACTTGCTGGCCACCACCCACTTGCCAGGCCTCTGCTCTGTCCCAGGCTGTGTTGTCTTTCATTTTCATGGTAAGACTCTGGCTGTGCAATTTGACGTCAGAGGTGTCCATTTAGTTCATGTAGCTGGTTTGTTATGGAGGCCGATTTACATCTGTGCTCTAGGGGAGTGAGGTTTACTTTCCTCATTCATGAAATTGTAATAAGAACATGCTGCTAGCCTTCTGTAGCCAACAGCACACAGAAGTGCTTTGTGCATACAGATTCTATTTGAATATTTAAAAAACAAAAAATGTGTAAGAGATTAGTTTTATTGCATATTTTATACATAAGTATGTAGGTATAACATGCATATATATGTGTATATGTGTGTGTATATACTTTTTTGCCACTTATATTTTGATGGAGAAATCTGTATATCTTGAGCTGGGCAGAGGTTACACACATTCTGTGACACCGAATGAAGTGACAAAGCAGGGAAAGAGTGTAGTTGTGTTCCCCTAACCCTAGGCCACAGGGAGCTTTTCCTTGGTCCATGTGTTGAGTATGGGAACTGAGCAAGGGTCCTGTGGCAGCCGTCCCCTCCCTGCACATGGCCCGGAGCCGCCCCTTCTATGGCAGGAGCAGGTTTGGTGCCCCTCTGGGCCAGGGCTGTGTGGTATGGCTGTCAGGCCCTGTTAGATGCTTCTGTGTGTTAGGGTGCCGCCTGGCGGCTGTGTGCTATCTCTTGAGGGTGCCACGTGACCTAACCTGTCTGGCTCTGTGTCCTGTGGTCAGCCCTGAGCCGGGAGGAGCTGGAAGCACTCTTCCTCCCCTATGACCTGAAGCGGCTGGAGATGTATTCACGGAACATGGTGGACTATCACCTCATCATGGACATGATCCCGGCCATCTCCCGCATCTATTTCCTGAACCAGCTGGGGGACCTGGCCCTGTCCGCGGCTCAGTCGGTAGGCTACCTGCTGCTTGCGTGGAGGAGGAGAAGCGAGGATTGTAGAGCTGTTTGTTTGCTGGGTGTTGGGTTGGGCCCTTGGACATAATTGTGTGCCTTTAGTTCCTCATAGATCTGATAGGTGGGTAGTGGTCTCCTCATTCTACAGGTCAGGAAACCTGGGCTCTGAAGTCGAGTAACGTGCCCAGCCATACGAAGTGAGAGAGCTGCAGCTTCCACCCCGCTACGTTGCCTTGACACTTAACTCCACCTTAGCAGAGGTTCAGGAACATCCCAAACTTTTATTGTAGTTGTGAAGCAGGTATTTGTCAGGATAAAAGTTATTTTGGGGATTTAAGGAAGACAGCATTTCTTGGTGGTCTCAGTAACAGGATGAGAGAGAAGATGCCAATATACACAGTGCTAGTCTGCCTTTGTACCAATAGCTTTGGGCTAGAGAGTACCCTAGTTCTTGGCGCCATTTTAATGGGCAAGGGCCTGTCCTAGAGGCCTACCCAGCAGATTTTCCATCCTTTAGGCTCTTCTCTTGGGGATTGGCCTGCAGCATAAGTCTGTGGACCAGCTGGAAAAGGAGATTGAGCTGCCCTCAGGCCAGTTGATGGGACTTTTCAACCGGATCATCCGCAAAGTTGTGAAGGTAACCTCGACCCGAGGGCAGGGGCTTGATCTCTCTCACATAGTGCAGTGAACCCACTCCCTGCTCCCGAGATGAACACATGTTAGCATTTAGCTGTGTTTGCTGCATCTCATCACACACACAAATCCGGGACTTCAGCTCTGAAAAATCTGTGAAGTTGTGTGTGTCCTCTCCCAGAGGCATCCCTGTTAGGAATTCGGTACATATCCAGTCTGTGTTCTTCAACTCTTCTTGCGAATATCCATATTCCTAAACTGTAGAGTGTTGCTTTATGTCTTCAAAATGCACACCTTTCTATAAGACACCAAGCGTCTGGGTCACGGGTGACTGGGCGCCTGCTGTTCCTTCATCTTCTGCTTCTCTGTGGTCGTCTTTTGTAGCTGTTTAATGAAGTTCAGGAAAAGGCCATTGAGGAGCAGATGGTGGCAGTGAAGGATGTGGTCATGGAGCCCACAATGAAGACCCTCAGTGATGACCTGGTATGTCCCTACTCAAGGCCTCAGGAGTCCTGGCTTTTCCATCAGTTGCCTTAGGCTGTGAATGCAGACTGTCTTCCCTTCCCCTTTAGAAAGAGTCCTCTGCACTCATTGAGCTAAGTGCTATTCCATAGGTTTAACTGGGCAAATGGACCCAGCATTGTCTGAGCACACACAGGCCTAGAGTTGTGCCTGCCATTGGTTGTGTGTGTATGTTATGAATGCAGGATTCCAGCATCTGTTGTAAATGTTTTGTCTTTTTTGGTGACTTCTTAAATACATATTTTATAGACAGAGCTACCTTAAAATAATCAGAGCTGCCTACAAGGTTTTTGCAGGTGGACGGAAGAGAAGGAAATGTTTTCTCATCATTGTGCTATTCCACCCCAGCTTCCCCTTTTCCTGTGTTTGGTTCAGTCCTTGACTCTGACTTAGTCTCTGTATGGGTCCTTAACCACAGGATGAAGCAGCAAAGGAATTTCAGGAGAAACACAAGAAAGAAGTGGGGAAGCTGAAGAGCATGGACCTATCTGAGTAAGGCTTGTGGGAAGCAGAGACTTTGCCTTGGCTTCTGGGGCCCTAAGAATCTGCCTACACGTTTCTTCTAATCATATCCCAGGTGCCCTGGGAAGTGTCTTTCATGGGATCAGTGTTAGGAGTGCTAACAGTTCTACTTGACCTTCTAATTGCCTGTTTGTATAATTTTGGAAGAGTTGGGTTCCCGAGACCAGTGTGGCCACTTTGACTTTCAAATTGCGTTCTCCGATCCCCAAGGCTCCAGGTCACACCTCGGGTCCTTCCAGGAGTGGGGGTGCCGATTGGATGAGCATGCACTTTAATGGTTACTTTACTCTATTTGGCTTTTACACGTGACTTTGTTTGAAGAAAGGATTCTACTGCTAAAACCAACCAAACAAGCAAAACCCTTGCTCTGAAACCGTCTGGGGATCCTAGTCCCTTCTGAGCTTCAGCTGTAGTGGTGCTGCCTCTCCCTCCACCGCCTGGATTGATGTGAACAATAACTCCAGAATTCGTGGCCTCTGAGCCTCTGTGACCTGTAGTCCTGTTTCTGGGTCATCAGTGATGGTGGCTGCTGGGTGTGTGAGATGGAGGTGGCCAGGAGTCCTTGGTCAGAGAATCGAGCTGTAGTTTCTGCCCTCAGCTTTATAATATCAAAACCTTGATTTGCCAGGACTGCTAAATCTAAAAGAGAAGGGAAGGAGGGAAGAGACACAGTTCAAGGGCTTGTGGACAAACGCTTGGAGGTGGGAGTGAGTGAGAAGATTGTGGGGACGACAGGAAGCTGCTTTGGGGGGTGTTAATGAGAGTCATGTGGGAGAAGCCAGGCAGGCGCCTTCTGTGCAGGACTGTCCTCACTGACCCCCGCCAGCAGACCTGGTGACCCTCGCTCCTGTGGAGCTTCTATCCATAGAGCTAAGCGCCACATCTCTTGGCCCTCCTGCATGCTCGTCCCCTTTGTCCTTTCTGCTGTTCAAATGCTTACACTGCTCAGCCTGGCTTTCATGACAGGAAAGGTCTGATAAGAATGTTGTCACTGTTGTATTTTCTCTTAAGCAGTCCCGTCTTCTTTCAAGCAGGCTTTGATAGTGCCCTTCTGTTTTTTTAAGATACGTAATCCGTGGGGACGATGAAGAGTGGAATGAAGTTTTGAACAAAGCTGGGCCGAACGCCTCGATTATCAGCCTGAAAAGGTGAGGGCCCAAGGTCTGAACTGCATCTGGTGGAAGAGGCATTCTGGCCTCTCTGCTTCTCTTTACCTTTGACTAGAAAATAGGAGGTTGGAGCAAAAGCTTTGACAGAAAAGTCATGGTTCTTCCCTTTGAGAGTCCCTTGGCCATTACCGTTGCAGTGCATCTCCCACAGACCAGGAGGGCCATCTCTTAGGCATGGATCTCTTCACTGTTTGTATTCGTCAGCCTTGCCAGGGCGCTGGGCCTATCAGAGAGAAGGGCTTGAGGGAACAGTCCAGAAGCTGCCACTGGCTGAGTCTTGCCTGTGGGCTTTCATCATTCAGCCCTCAGGATGACAGCATGAGGGGGCTGTTTTATTACTGTCATTGCTTTCAGATGAAGTAACCAAGGCTCTACGGGGTTAAGTAAATTCCCAAGAAGCACACAGCTAGTGAGAGCTGGAGCTAGAATCAAGTCCAAGTTTCTCTACTGCAAGGCCATAGGTTTAACTGTTACATTGTCCTTCCTTTGAGCCAGCAGTTCTCAAGGTTTTGGGTCTTTGAGTTCCTTTATCTCTTAAAAACAATTAAGGCCCCCAGAGGACTTTTGTTGGTTATATCTATTGTAATTTCCCATATTAGAAATGAAAAACTGGTCAGGTACGGTGGCTGATGCCTGTGATCTCAGCACTTTGGGAGACCGAGGCAGGAGGATCGCTTGAGCCCAGGAGTTCAAGACCAACCTGTGCAACATAGTGGCCCTGTTTCCCCAAAAAAATCTTAAAAAGAAAATAAATGAAAAACTGAGAAATTTAAAAAATATTCATTTGTTCACAGTAATAATGGATTCAGTTGTTTGGAAAAACACTCTCATAAAAATTGTGGTGAAGAGTGGCATTGTTTTACATATACATTTTTGCAAATCTCTTCAATATCTGGCTTAATAGAAGGCAGCTGGATACTCATGTCTGTGTCTTCACTGACACCCTTGTGCTGTCATATCTTATACTCTCTGGAAAACTGAATATTTGTGAGAGAATGAAAATGAAAAAAGGCAAATAACTATTTTCATACTAATAGAAGTACATTTTGACCTTATGGACACCTGAAAGGGTCTTAGGGACCCCAGCAGTCCTTAGACCACTCTTTGAAAATCTTCACTCCAAGCTTCTTATCTGCAGAGTGGTGCATTTGTAAATAACTTAGGCTGGAACCTTCATCAGTTTTCCCTGGGAATACAATGAGGCCTTCCCTGCCCAGAGCCTCTGGAATTGAGGCTTTCACAGCTGATTTGGGGGTTGATGGGGAGGGTGAGATTTTGGCAGTCCCCTAGTTACTGGTTTCCTTAAAAGCTTATATTTTGGAAACATTTGGAAAGAGGAAACCTTGTGTCTCTGGGAACTATAGATCCCAGAAATCAGATACTATCTTCCAGAGTCTCCATTAGTCACTGTGGCATCTTGAAGGATCCAGCATCGATGCTGGCCTCATTTCCCAGATGCTCTGTGGTGCAGTACAGAAGCCCACTGTCGGTGTGACCTGTCTTTGGTTTGTACAGTATGGGAAATGTAGCACAGGGCCCATGATGGCTTTGGCCTTGAGCACGGTGGCTTTCACTGGAAAAAAAGGCTGGAGAGCGTGCTTGCTGTGGAGACAGCCTCAGCTCCTCACTCTGCAGAACTTGGCCTTTCCTGCCATTTGTTTGGCCATTGCTGGTAGTGAGAAGCCTCTTGAGTCCAACCAGCCAGTGCTGTGTGGTTGTTGATGTGCTTGATGGCTCTGAGTAAATGTGAAAGCTTGAACTTTGTGAGCTAAAAATGCTGGTAGCTATCATTAAATACTCTGAGGCATTTCTTTTTCTTCCTTTGAGAGGTACTTCATTCATACAACCTTAATGGTATCTGGACTGAACTCTTCTCTGTCTCCTTGTAGGGAAGTATTTGTTCCCAGAGCAAAATTAAACCTATGTTTCTTAATGGCAGGTGGCCGTTTGCTGAGTGATTCCTGTGCCAGTGTATCAATGAAGAATCCAGGAACTGGTCACAGGGTGTCACCTGTTGTTTTCGATTTCTTCTTCTCATATAAGATAAATAAAATAATAGTAGCACATCATGGCTACTATTATGGCAGGGTTTTCCTTGGAGTCTCATGCCTTGTATTAAGGACTGTCTTCAGGGTCATTGGGATGAATATGTCTGGTTTCCAGAGTCGCTGCAGTGGTGGTGAGAGTGGTGAGTGGTGAGTGGAGAGTGGTGGTGGGGAATCCTTGTGGTGCCTTAGATCTGTCTTGGGAGAGGGGAGCACAGCGTACCGAGCTCTGAGGAGAACCCGGATTTCAGGTGTTAAGATCAAGATTTGTTCTTCCACAGACTAAGAGCTGGGTTAGGGCAGGAACTGGTCTGTGTGGTGTGTCCCCAGCCCCAGCACAATGCCTGCCCCCTAATAGGTTTGCAGAGAACATTTATGTCCAATCGGGTGTCCTTACATCAAGTTTCAAACGGTGGAAACCCTTTTTCACAAAGCAAAGCAAGCTTAAAACCAAGCAGTCTCAGATGTTCAGATCTGTACATATTTCATTCTATTTTTGATTTTTCTCTAGTGACAAGAAAAGGAAGTTGGAAGCCAAACAAGAACCCAAACAGAGCAAGAAGTTGAAGAAGAATAGAGATAGAAAGAACAAAAAAGATATGAAACTGAAGCGGAAGAAATAGTGAAGAGAAACTTTGGCATCAGTGTTTGATCATGGGAAGATACTCTCACTTCCTGAACCCTCTCTGGCTGGACTGTTAAAAGCAACAAGAGTCCCCGGCACACCTGCAAACTGGCTGCGGATTCAGCCTCCAGGCCTGTGTCAGTCTGTGAGCTCAACCTGGCTGAAGGCAGAGTCACTCCCAAATGGGTCTCCTTAGAACTTGATGGCTGGGCACTGCCACCTAGAATTGCTAGGAGTCTCTCTCTCCCCAACCAGTCCAGGGCCCTCCTTTCCTATAAGTTCATATTTTGCTTTGGGCCAGCTTTTTAGGCTCATACCCGCACACGTGGAAGCCATGTTGCCTCTCGTCCTCCTGAGGCCCTTAAGTACATCGCTTTCTGGTGGTGCCCAGGGGGCTGCTGCTGGGCCGCTGGGTCTCTCTTTGTGGCCTTGTGCCTGGAGCAGGAGGACCTCCAGTCCGTCCCGGCATCCCTAGCAGCACGCAGTTAGGTGCACCGGGGTTTGCTGATGCAGTCTTGTGCTGTTCCACTCTTGGCTCCAGCAGAGCCACTGTCCCAGAAACACCTGAGCCTGTAGTTTGTGTAGGATGCCACATCTGCGTCCTCAAGACCTGTTATCTCATCCATTTGGGAAAAGATGTTGGGAAAGGCCATTTTGCTCGCAGGGGTGAGGGGAGGGATAGAGAATCTATTTTTAATAAATAATATTCTAGAAAGACCAGCTGCCTGTGAGCGTTCTGAAATCCACACACGTGGAAGTTTCTTCTGGTCTGTCTTGGCTGCCTGGTGGAATTTGGAAGGCGTTGGTATCAAGGCCGGAGGTAAGCAGTGTATCTAGGGCTTCCCAGCCCAGAGGTCTGCGGGAGAAGTGGCAGGTGGTTGTGGTCACCTCGAGGGGCTTGGTGTGGTGGCTGGAAGCCAGCTAGAACTGCCTCATTTCCTTCCCAGCTCCTTCCAGGTCACTTGGTCCCTTCTGTTTGTTGAGAACAGAGATTACAGAGCTTTACACATACTTCGGTATGTTTGTTTAATGGTATCCAGGCTAATGAATCTGCAGCCTGATGTGTTGTCTAGGTTCAGAGAAGGACAGGGAAGGAAACGGTAACTTCTCAGCCTAAGGGTATTTCATATGCAGCTCCCGGGACTTGTTCCCAGAGGGAGAAGAGCAGGTTCTGTGCGTGACCCTAGCACTGCTGAGCCTTGTCACCGAGGCTGTCGGGACGTGAGCTAGGGACCTTTCATTTCTTGGAACTGAAGTTTCCTGGCCACAGACCTCTGTTAGGTCTGTAGGAAATTTTGCTGGCGGTGGGGAGAGGGCATGAAAATAATTTTTATTTATTTTCTCAGGTGGGTGCCTAAGCCTGCCTTTCAAAGAGGGTTTTCTTAGAGCGTGACCAAAAGCAGAGTCACATTCTCAAATGGTCAGAGCTGGATGGGACTGTGCAAGTTGTCCAGGCATATCATCCTACAGGTAAGGAAGCTTTTGTTTAGTGTCTCTACCCCCAAAGTCTCCCCAGCTGGCTCTGCTTTGGGTGCAAGGTGAGAGGGCTCTGGAGGCAGACTGCTCTGCCCTGACCCTCACCGTGGCCTTGGGCAGGTTACTTGATCCTACCTGCCCTTCAGGTCCACTTCTGCAAAGTGTGAGCGGTAGGAATAGCACCCCTGTCATGGGGTTGTGGTGAGGAGTGGGTGAGGTAGAATGGAAAGCATTTAGAACAGTGCCTGGCACAGAGCAAGGGCCTGCTCAATCTCTCTGGGTTCTGGGCATTCATCAGATCTAACTAGAGGAGCTGTTCAAGTTCAGTTACATGCCAGCTCTGAGAATACTCAATAAGGACTGGCTGTGGTGGTGTTTTAAAAACAGACAGGGTCTTGTTCTGTTGCCCAAGCTGGAGTGCGGTGGCTCAGTCATAGCTCATTGCAGCCTTGAACTCGGGCTGAAGGCATTCTCCCACCTCAGCCTTCCAAGCTGAGGGAAGGTGCTCACCACCACACCTGCCTAATTTTTGAAATTATCTAGAGATGGAGTCTCAATATGTTGCCCAGGTTGGTCTGGAACTCTGGCCTCAAGTGATCTGCCAGGGCCTCCCAGAGTATTGGGATTAGAGGCATGAGCCACCACACTTGGCCAGGACTGGCCATGTTCCAAAACCACAACCTAAGCTAGAAAAGGCGTCTCACTTGGGCAGCAGAGAGCATGCATTTTGCAGTCAGACTTGTCTGGCTGAGTGTAATATCTCTGTATCCTTGGACAAGGCCTCTTTATTTGCAAAGTGTGTGTTCCTAAACACACGCCTGGGTCTTTGCATTTTGTGGTCATGATCTTGGGTTCTCCTTCAAACCTGAAAAGGCATGCTCCCCCACACTTCACCATCTGGCCCCCAGACAGAGTGACATCTGTAAAGCTTGGCTGTCTTAGGAAATGTCACTTGCGAAATGAATTCAGATAGGCCAGCCATGAATGCTGTCACCAGAAGGGGAAGAGGCTGAAGAAGCCTGAACAAAGAATGTCACTGAATGGTCGCCCCCCATGCCCCCTCGCCAGGCGGAGCTGATGCCGGCCTGCTTCAGTGCTTCCACTGCTCATCTGGCCCGGCAGTCCCAGAGGACTCCAGAGTGACCAGGAGACGGGACACAAAGGGGGCCGCTGAGGCTGGGAGGTGGGGGAGGGGCAGAAATAAGTGACCGTCACCTTGGAAAAATGTAGACTCATTATCTGAGGCCCACCCGCAGCCATTCTGCAGGCCTAGAGGAGGGGGTGGGGTTGGAAGCCTCTTGGGCTTGAATAGACAATTTCAGGGGATTGTCCCTGAAGGGGCATGCCCTTGATTCTACAAACAATTGGTTCGAGTTAAACCTCATCTGGATCCTGCAAACGGGACATGAAAGGCAGCCTGAAAGGGAGAGGCTGGGGCTTCCTGCTCGGGCTGGTTCTGTTGAGGAGAAAGCTCTAGCCACCTCGCATCTGGCGTGGGGACTGATGTGGAAAAGGATAACTGGCCTTCCAGGCGGAGAGCAGAAAGGAAAGGAAAGCTTCAGGAGAAGATTTGAATGCAGGAAAGAAACCAGACAGCCTCAAAAAAGACAATCTCAGTGTTACCCCTGTCGGTGCAGGAGCAGACTGGTACCCGCCACCTCTGGAGAGGCGCTTTCTCTGGAGACGGCGAAGGCGCCAGCTTATGATTGCCTGTGGACCTGCTGAAGCGGAGTGAAATCCCTGTGGATGCAACCCATGCGCTCAGCACCTGGGTACTCAAGGGCTCCAGTGAGAAGGTAACTCCCCCGAGCCCGCCTGTGGCTGCTCATAGCAGGCGGAGTAGGCAGGCAGTGAGCAGTGGCCCCGAATTAGGAGGTCCAGCTGCCCAGGTAAGTGATCATTTCCGTTTGGGTCCTAGCCCCTTGGAAGCATGTCTGATTTTTTTTTTGGTAATTATTTTAATTTTTAATGTTTATTCAAAAATGTATTCCTGCTACCCACAGGCTCCAAGGGACCCGCTCCCTCTCTCCCACCTCTACTTTCTCTCAACCCCCCACTCACCCTCTCAGGAGAGGAAAGGGCTGATCCCTCGTCTGGAGCCAGAATGCAACTAGATCTTGCTTTCTAGACTGGGTACTGACCGAGGCATGTCCTGCAGGGATGGGGCAACTTGTGGGGACGCTGGACACAGACCTGTGAAGGGTAGCCACTTTGTATGACAAGTGCTGGGGAGAGGCGGCCTGCTCTACCACCTTCTTGGCCACAGCATAGAAAGATGGTGTGGGGGCCGGGCGCGGTGGCTCAAGCCTGTAATCCCAGCACTTTGGGAGGCCGAGACGGGCGGATCATGAGGTCAGGAGATCGAGACCATCCTGGCTAGCGTGGTGAAACCCCGCCTCTACTAAAAAAAATACAAAAAACTAGCCGGGCGTGGTGGCAGGCGCCTGTAGTCCCAGCTACTCGGGAGGCTGAGGCGGGAGAATGGCGTAAACCCGGGAGGCGGAGCTTGCAGTGAGCTGAGATCCGGCCACTGCACTCCAGCCTGGGCGACAGAGCGAGACTCTGTCTCAAAAAAAAAAAAAAAAAAAGAAAGATGGTGTGGGGGAGTGCGCCCCCTCCCAGTGGCCCCCAGAGGGCACCATGGGTCTGTGCGACCCCAGGGCCCCAGGCTGGGCCTCGAGCTTCCTGCACAGCCCCTGCTGGAATTGGGCCTTCCCAGGGACTGGGATCTTTATGTCATTCCCCTAACTCCTGAGTCATGGCCAGTCACTGGCCCACAGCCACTTTGCTTCAGGTTCCCAGTGACCTTAGGAATTTCTATACCTGCCTCTGCAGGCAGGCGACTTTTTTTTGAGAGAGTCTTGCTTTGTTGTCCAGGCTGAGGTGCAGGAGTGATCATAGCTCACTGCAGCCTTGAACTCCTGGGCTCTGTGATCCTCCCACCTCAGCCTCCTGAGCAGCTGGGAATACAGATGTGCACCACTATGCCCAGCTAATTGGCAGGGAATGTTTTAAAAACTTGTATTTGTGCCTGAACTTTGCACCTAAAACTACAGCCATGGCCCCAGAACACTGTTGGGTCTGAGTCGGCGCCTCACCATCTCCCTCCATTACCTCTGCTAGTGGCCTTGTGGTGGCACAGCCAGCTTAGCACTCACCCAGGGACAGGTCCTTCAAATCAGGCCAGGTCGGGCCTGGGTGAAGGAGGCCCTACCGCCACTTTGCTGGGCTCTGCCATTTGGGGATGTGCCAGGGTTTGCAAACACCTCTGAAGACATCCCCCAAAATAGCTCCCACATAAAGGGCTGTGGAGGGGGTGGGAGTGGAGATAAGGAAAGCCTGGTGGTGTCATATTCCTCAGTCATTTGGTGCCTGTCCAGCTCAGTGGCACATACGTGCTTAAATATGAGCGAGGGCCGGTGAGGCATGGAGAGAGGCGAGTGCTGGGTGGCCACAGCAATGGCTTTGGTAGGGTCTTGGCTCTGAGAGGCAGGAGACCTGAGTAAGAAAGAGAGTCAGCTCTGGGATCTCTCCCTGGTCCTAAGGGCTCCTCCCCAGTTCTGAACTCTGAGTAACCCTCTTCCAGAGCAGTGAGGCCAAGGTCATTGTTAATGAGTATTTATTGTTAATAAAACCATAGTACATTTACAGTAGGTGACAACATTATTGTACAGTTAAAGTATCATACAATATTACAGCAATAAAATAATGCCTATTTCTTTGTACATCCAGCCAAGCAGCTAGTCAAAATATTTTCCAGGATTGCAAGCCCTTGGGGGCTGTTCAGGGTGACCTGAGTGACACCTCCTGAATTGCCCAGGGCTTTTGGTGAATAAATAGTTTCTAAGGTGCCTCCAGACAGGCCGTGCCTGATGCTGCCCCAGTGTCTGGTCCATAAATACGACAGGTGTCAGGGGAGCCTGGAGCCTGCAGAATTCGAGGGCAAGGCCGGGAGGGGACACAACAGAAAGGCCTCTTCTCTTGGCCCTTATTTTCCATCAATGACCCGTCCTTTATCTCCAAGAGCCACAGTTCCCAGTGGGAAGTGTTTGCCCAGCTCTCAATCCTCCATTAAAGGAGCGAAGAGACTTGACCAGGGGGCTCTGCTTCCTGGCCCCACAAAGGCAACCTAGTTTAGGCCTGAGGTTCCAGAATCCACCCATTTACTTTGGCCCCTAAAACCACAGCAAAACAAGAGCTGAGGCCATTCCTACACAGTACCCCATCCCCTACCCCTCCATGCCAGACTTAGCGCAGAAACCATCAGCTGAGGAAATGCCCTCTGCTGCTAACTGAGCAAGCCGATAGTCCTGATGGGAGGTACTCTGGAAGCCCAGGCACCAAAGACAATGGGGGGACTCTGGGTGGCAGCAGTCATGGTGACGGGGGGGTCAGGCCACTGGATGCCCACATCAAGCCTGTCAAACCTTTGAGGAAAAAGTTCAGGGATTTGGGCAGCCTTTGCTATGTGACATTTAGGAAGAAAAATACCAGCTTTTGAATTACTATAGACGATCGGGGGCCTAGGCAGTATGCATTCTATACATTCATAAGGATTCCCGCACCCCCAAGAGTTGGGATGGTCTGAATTTACTGAGGCCCTAGGAGGGCCTGGGCAGAGGTGGATCAGGACCAGCTGCTGACCTGCAGGAGGGGAGAGCGACACGCAGGGGGAGTGCATGGCTGCCCTTGAGGGGCAGACTGGGATGGGGAGGAGGGCGACCAGTTGGCTACATCTCTCCTTTGCCTATCAAACAGCTCTAGAGCAGAGGAGATGAGGGTGCGCTGTCTGGTGACAGGTGGGGCATCTGGGGAAGGAGGAGGAAACAGCCCCGTGACCCTGGCTCCAAGAGGGCCTACAACCATAGCCTGACCTGGTGGGCCCTGGCGCTGGCAGCCTCCGCCCCCCGCCTCACACCCGGGAGGTGATGTAGACAGAGTGCACGCGCTCCGCCAGGGTGTTCTGCAGGTCCTGCAGCGGATCCAGGCCCTGCACTTTGCTGCTGCGGCCGTAGATGAGCTGCCGGAAGGCGTCCTGCTCCAGCAGGGCCTTCATGTGCTTGAGAAAGAAGCCCTCACAGAACAGGGCCAGTTCTGGGGCATTGTGGATCTGTAGGGCAGAGAGAGGAGGGGCGAAGCTCATGTCCTTAGTACAGCCCCACTCACCCTCACCCCCAAATACTGCCTACCCATGGCCACGGCCCTGCTTAAGCCCCACCCTGGCCAGGGGAGGCGTTCCCTGTCCCTGCATCCTGAGGCCACCTCTGCTATATCTGAACTGTTCCAGCCCCCGTCATTTTCCTGCCTGTGTCATACTGTCATGCTGCCCTGTTAAGTGGCAGTCATCCCTGTTGGATTGGAAGTTCCCTTCCTAAGGGCAAGAACAGGGACTGTCCACCACTGGGTGTCCAGGGCTCAGCACCAGGCCTGGCATGTGAGTGTGCACATGGTAAATGCTGGATAAGGATGTCACTCAACAAATATCAAGGGGCCGCTCTGGGTTTTCAGTTCAGAGGTCAAGGTCTCTGCAGTGCTGCAGATGTCCTATTTTGGGGGAGACAGAATCTGAGGAACCAAAGACAAGGTAACTGCAGACGGTGCTAGACACTGTGAAGGAGGTAAAGCCAACGTGACCGGATGGTGTGTGAGAGGCCAGGGGAGGCCTGGGGACACCAGCTGATGAAGATGAAGGGCGGGAAAGAGCTTTACAGGAAAAGGGAAGCGTCACAAAAGCCCTGGGGTCTGGGCACGCTGAGAAGGAAGCATGGTGGAGTGAAGGGAGATGTGGGCAGGACCTTGGGGGCCTTGGAAGGCATGATAAGGGCTGGCTATTATTTAGCCTGCAGCAGGTGGAAAACCTTTGGTGGGATTAAGTATGGGAGTAACACAGTCTTTGTACTTTCTTGGGGGGCGGGGGGAGTGTGTTGAGACAGTCTCACTCTGTCGCCCAGGCTGGAGTGCAGTGGCATGATCACAGCTCACTACAGTCTCAACCTCCTGGGCTCAAGTGGTCCTCCTGCCTCAGCCTCCTGAGCAACTGGGACCACAGGTACACGCCAGGACACTCAGCTAGTTTGTAGAGGCAGGGTCTTGCCATGTTTCACAGGCTGGTCTAAACTCCTGGTCCTCCTGGCTCATCCTCCCGAAGTACTGGGATTACAGGTGTGAGCCACTGTGCCTGGCCATGGTTTTTGAACTTTTAAAAGAACCTTGTGGATTGCAAGGCTAAGGCCAGAAAGTAGGGAGGCTGGGCCAATGCCGTTGTCCAAGAGAATGATGGTGGTGGCTTAGGGCAAGGTGAGGGCAGTAGAGATGAAGGGAAGTGGAGAAACTGCTGGTGTGTTTCAGAGGTACATGGCTTGCATTTGGGGTGGGATTTTACAAATCAAATATGGTTCCTAAGTTTTGAGTCTGAGCAACTGAGCAGTGACCATGTCGCTTGTTGAGATGGGGCAGCTGGGGAGGCACAGGTAGGGGAGAAAAGTAAATACCTATGGCTTTGATTTGACTCAGAGGCTCAGCAACTTACCCAGGTGGCAGAGCTGGAATGTGAACCAGGATGCACCTGGCTCAGAAGCTCCCCTCCCAAGCTACCATGTGGCCGGTGGGCAGCAGTGCCCCCAGGCTACAGAGAGTTGCCTACCCTCCCTCAGCCTCTACTCTGCCCTCAAGCAGCCTGGCCACCCGCATCTCCTAGCTCATCCCCAGTGTGGCCACACGGCCGAGGCCCCCGTGGAGCAGAGCATGTGGTGGGAGGTGGCCAGCAGGCATCCTTGGCCCTCACCTTGGCATATTTGTAGGTGTTCACGGCGCTCTCCACGCTGAGGGTCTGGGAGCATAGGATCTCGCAGTGCCTCTGCAGGGCATCCAGCTGGAACAGGCTGGCAGCTGACAGCAGCTGGTAGGGAGGCAGAGCAGGTCTTGGGGACCCATGGCCAGACCAGTAGCCCAGACAGCATGGAACAGAAAGCTCCTGAGTGCCATGTGCCCTGCTGCCTCCGCCCTCAGGCCCTACTACCTTCCGATCCGCCTGGACCTAACCATCCCCGCTGGGGCACGCACTGAGGCTGGGCTCAGCGGTGTGCACAGTTCCTGTTTCTGGGAATCACTCTTCCAGTGAGATGGAGAGGAAGAGGCACCTTACCTCTGTGAAGGGGGTAAATGGGAGACCGAGCAGCCGGGGACCCTGGCGCAGGCCCCCTCCTCCTCTCCCGAGTCTCACCTCCAGGATGTCAGCGGTGGGGATCTCCATGGATTCTGTTCCTCCGTAGTACAGATACTGCATCATCATCTGTGGTGGGAAGAGGCCCGGGTGAATGCCACGTGGACCTGAGGCATGAAAGTCCTTGCCGGCCCCACAGGGTACTGCTCCAGCTGCCACCTCCAGGGGCCTGTCCCTCTGCAGAGCCCCAGCTCTGTCTCTCCCTCCCTCTCCTGCTCAGGCTGCGACTTGTGTTTTCCCGGGAACGCCACCTCTAGAAGCCACCTCCAAGACACTCTCTCCTGAGTCCCTGCCTGGATGACAAGCTCCCTCCGCGGAATGTTTCCCTACAATCATAAGAACACCGTGAGCCCAGGAGGGAAGTTCCTATCCGCAGTTGGGGAAACTGAGGCCCAGGGAAGGAAGATGACTTGGCTCAAGTCCCTCAGCTCCCCGATGCCTGCAGCAGGACTCGCGGCATGCCTGGCCCCACGTGACTCATTGCTGGTGTGATCTAGATTCTACACAGGGAGTAGCAGTGGGGGGGTCTCTGAAGGGATGTTGGAGGACGCTGTCTCCTGCCTTCCCCTGTCTGTACAAGGACTCCAATGTAGAGGTGAGAGTCCACCCGGACTCTGTCTCAGGTGTGCTCCCTCAAAAAGAAAGCGCAGAGCCCAGGCCCATAGGCCCGGAGCTCCCCTCGACAGGTTGAGCCCCGCCTTGGGCTCCCAGATGAGGTGGTCCAGGACTAGGAACTATTTAGTTCTGCTGAGGTTTCAGTTACAAACGCAGCCATCACGCTGGAGCCTAGTGAGGTTCCCAGTTGGAAAAAGAAAAACAATTCTTTCTGGCTGGCTGAAGAAACGGCCCCAGCAAGGAGCTGGCAAGTGTGTAAGTAAACACGGCTCCAGCCGGCATAGTCGGGCTCTGTCAAGACCGGCCGTGAGGCTGCAGAGGCACCAGAGGGTCTAGGAGAAGGCCCAACTGCAGGGAGAGAAGTCGGGAGATGGGCCTGCCAGCCTCGTTCAGGCATCAGGAGACGTTGGCCAAGGCCCACCCTGGAGATGTCAGCCTCTCCCCACCTCTAGAGGTCTGGGAAGCTCCCACAGCCTTCTGCAGCCCCTGCTGGAGCCTGGATGGCGAGCTTATGATTGCATAGTAAGTAAGTATCCGTCTGCTCCCTCCAGACAGTGTGTGCCTTGGGCAAGCCATGCCCGCGTCCCTCTGCCCTCCCCATGCAGGGCACTGAATGAGTGCTCAGCAAGGTGTGGCACCAGCAGGAGCAGTGCCTGGAATGCCCCTCATACAGGGTTGGAGTTGGGGGACCAGGCAGGCAGGTCAGATCTTCCTTCTGGGATTCTTTGCTAAGGGATGGCCTCGGGGCAGCCCCTGGGGCCAGGCCTACCAGCCACCTTTGGCTGCAGCTCCCTTCCTGGCCTGGAAGGCCACCTCCTGCTGCATTTTAGGATTCGGTTTTGGCAAGGCCCAGTCTTGGGATCCGTGGCACATGGATCTCCCTGAGGCCACTTGAATGCATATGAGGCCACAGAAGTCAGATCAGAATGGCTCACCTGGAGCCTTGCTGTGGGAGCTGGGCAGCCAGCAGGCAGACGTGGGTGAATTTTGCACAGCCTGGCAGTCCCTAGCAGGATACAGGTCATGTGCCTCCTGGAGCCAGGCAGCCTGCGGGGCTAGACAGGCTGCTTGAGGAAGGGCCCCAGACAGGACCAGCTGTAGAAGGGCAGCAGGGTTTCCTTCTGTCCTAAGTGGGCCACCTGGAAGCTGAGACTGCAGAAACCATGTTGGAAGGGCAGGGTTCGGGCCCTCTGGGCTATATGCTCAGTAACTTTTTTGTTTTGTTTTGTTTTGTTTTGAGACGGAGTTTCGCTCTTGTTGCCCAGGATGGAGTGCAGTGGCACAATCTTGGCTCACCGCAACCTCCACCTCCAGGGTTCGAGTGATCTTCCTGCCTCAGCCTCCTGAGTAGCTGGGATTAATTTTGTATTTTTAGTAGAGACAGGGTTTCTCCACGTTGGTCAGGCTGGTCTCAAACTCCTGACCTCAGGTGGTCCGCCCACCTCGGCCTCCCAGAGTGCTGGGATTACAGGCGTGAGCTACTGTGCCCAGCTGTCAGTAACTTTTACATTGATTACATGTTGAAATAATATTTTGGCTATACTGTAAGTTCAAAAATACTGAAGTCAATTTCACCTGCTCTTTTTTATGTGACTAGTAGTAAATTTTAAATTACAATGTATGCCTCACACTCTGACAGTACTGCCTAGAAGTCCTTGGGCCTCTGTTTCCTCCTCCAGAAAACAAAATAATGATCCACACACCCCCACCCCACCCCGCCAACATGAGAGCCAGTGAGATATTTGGGGGCTGCTGGAAAACTTTCAGGCTTTGTTAGGGAACCCTGACCCCAGATTAATGGCTCCAGCCTGACCCCTCCAGGGAAGCCCCGGAAAGCCAGAGCTGAGGTCTGGAAGCCCCATCTGAAATGATGCCCCGGATATGGCGAAGTTCTGTACCCAGGGGACCCACGGGGCCAGTGCCCTGGGCCTGGTTAGAACAGTCGGCCAGAACTTGGCAAAAGGCCCAGGGGAAGGCACATGTGTGCTGTGGAGCTGAAGCCTGTCCCCTATTTGCCCTCCCAGCAACCCCGGGAGGTGCCAAGGGGCTGCTGAGCCTGTTCTGCGACAGATGCCCTCCCTTGGCCTGGTGGGTGAGCACAGGCGACCAAGCCTGCACACATCCCCTTAGAGGCCGTGGTCACCCGTGGCCACATGTGTGCCCCCCAGTCTCCAGCGATTCCTGCAGTCCCTCTAGGACCTGCCTCCTGCCTGATCTGAGCATGACTCCACCTCCCGCTCCACTCACCTGGACATGTTCCTAAAGCTGCCCATTCTCCAGTGAGTTGGATTAAGGGGTGGGAAAAGAGGGAAGGGGAGATGCCACCACTCTGTGGCCTATGCCAGAATCCTGGGCCTCCCCTCCTCCCACATCCATCAGTTACCAAGTTCCAAGTCCCATCCGCTCTTCCCTGCTCCATTTCCCTCCATCCCCCCAGCCACTGCCAAGCCAGGTCACCACTGTCACTCAGTTGGATTCCTCAGCAGCCCCTAACGGGTCCTCTGGAGGCGGCCATGCCCCCTTCCATCCCTTCTTACTGCTGCAAATGCAAACTTGGCCATTTGGCACATCCTGGGTTTGAATTCTGGCTCCATCACTTCCCAGCTATGTGATCTTGAGCAAGTTACTCAACTTCTCCATGCCTCTGACTCCTCCTCTATCAAGAGGCGATAACATACCTACCTCCCTGGATCTGTGCTGTGGAGGCTTCAATGGAAACCAAGCAAAGCACTTAGAACCCTGCCTGCCTAAGTGTTAGTGATGGTGAGCTCATCCTACTGCTTAAAACCTTGAGGGCAGCGTCTCTGTCCTGTTTGCTGTGGTATTCACCCCAAAATGTCTAAATGCTACATAAGCATGGGGATAAGTGACTAGAGAGGGCATGAGAAAGAAAAAGCCATTTTAGGCCAGGTGTGGTGGCTCACACCTGTAATCCCAGCACTTTGGGAGGCCGATGCGGGTGGATCACAAGGTCAGGAGTTCGAGACCAGCCTGACCAAGATGGTGAAACCCTGTCTCTACTAAAAATACAAAAATTAGCCAGGCGCGGTGGCAGGTGCCTGTAAATCCCAGCTACTCATGAGGCTGAGGCAAGAGAATCACTTGAACCCGGGCAGCAGAGGTTGCATTGAGCTGAGATTGTGCCATTGCACTCCAGCCTAGGCGACAGAGTGAGACTGTCAGAAAAAAAAAAAAGCCATTTTAGAGGTGGCCCCATGTGCTTCTGTGAAACTCTTTGGGGTTTGCAATCTCTCCTATTATATCACAAACCACTCCTGTGCAGGGCAAGGCCCTAGACCCACCCGCCAGCTGCCTCCTGGCCTCAGTCCCAGCCCATAAGGGTGAGCTCTTCCAGCCCTGAGCCCACCACACGGCCTGGAGACCTGCAGTTGCTACTTTCTAGAAAGCTCCTCTCAGTGGGGTTCAGCTGAGATCCCAGCCAGGTCTCTTCCTCTGGACCTTGTCTGCCCTGACTGGAGTTTCTAGTACGTAGCCTTGTATGTTTTACAAAGCTTAGAGCCCGAAAGACCTGACTTTGATCTTCTACAATCAGGATGTGCGCCTCACAGCCACATGCTTGACCACTGTGACTGGGGTTCCATGCTTGGGAGAAGTGACAGCCTCCATAGCCTCCAGCAGCACTGCTCAAACTGTACTGAGCACATGGCCACCTGGGGATCTTGTGAAGATGCAGGAGGGCTGGGGCGGGGCCTGGGGCTCTGCATTTCCAACAAGGTCTCAGTAATGCCCATTGGTTGGGGGCCCACCCTGATAACAAGGACTCACTCCACGGCTGTGTGGCCTGTATCTGTCCTTGCACGTCTGTCTGCAGGCTGCCCAGACCACCTGTCTAGCGGTGAGAGCTCAGTACCCATGCAACAGGCTCTGAAGCTGCAGCCCCACAATGGGATGGCTGCCTCTGCACAGGGAAAGACCTGGATGCTCTACTGATTCAACAAAATACAGAAGGCACTGGGAATAGAGTGGACAATGTCAGCCTACGCACAGCTGCCCACAAAGGTGAGCTCCTGGGGGAGGGTCATCCCTCCGAGAAGAGGGCGGCACCAAGACCCACACACCTGAAAAATATGGTACTTCATGTCGCTGATCTCAATGGTCTTGCTGCTGTCCCCATCCTGTTCTGATTTATTGGTCATTAGTGTCTTGAACCTGGAGTAAAGGAGACAAAGCAAGGCGGATTTTGAACCTTTTACTCCACCACTGTGTGGCGATGGCACCATTTGCCACCTGACTGGCTACCATGAGACGGAGCATTTTAAAAATTACTGCTGTGCTCCTAAAATAATTTTCAGCAAGTGCCATTTTACACAATCTTAGGAAGACATCTGGGCTGAGCCCGATTCTGTTCTCACCACCCACCATACAAGCGACCTGACTCCTGTGGCCAGAATGCTGACTCTTCATTCCAGAATATGTTTGCTAATAATCAAAGCAATAACTCGGCCAGAAAGAACACCACCTCAGAGACCCCCTTCCCTGCTGCCCCGGGTCCACCCTGCCTTGCCCCGCTGTGGGGCGAGTGGGGCTCTGCTGCCACGTGACCGCAGTCTGAGGGGCACAGGCTGTAGGGTACAGCCCCAGCGAGTCACTCTCTGTCACCTCGAATCTGAAACAAGGTGCTTCTGTGCCATGGGCTGGGAGTTTGTTATCTGAGGCTGCCTACCTGTTAGAAGCTGTCACCAGCAGGACTTTATGTGCATAAAACAGCTTTCCTTCCACTAGGAAGGTCACATCCGACATCTCCTTATTGTTCAAAAAGTGTGGATCTGTGGAAAGCGGGGAGACAGAGGGATATGGCCGAGGAGTCCCCTGCTGGGGGTTGCTTGTGTGTGCTGTGAGGTGCGTGTCTGGGGTTGGGGGTGGGACATAGGGGTGAGGAACAGAGAAACTGAGGCTGGAACCTTGACACTTGGAAATGGAAAGACAACAAAGTGGGGAGGGGGCAGGAAAGGGAAGAGGGGGAGGGCATGTGGCAATGCGGGGCGCGGGGGGCGGGCGTTCACCTAGCCTGGCTGGCAGGGTCTTCCGGACCTCTGGGATGCTGGGGATGGGGCTGCTGCCATAGCAGTGGGTGAAGATGGCAGCCAGTTGCTGGATGACGGAGTCGTTCTGTGGGGAGGGGAGAGAGGGCCTGTGAGCTGCCTGCTGTGGCTGGCTGTTCACAGATATAGATATATTAGGCTAATTTCAAAAGTCCAGGCCAGGATTAGTGCAGCCGCTGTCTTTTGTTCCTGCTAGATGTGGCTTGGCAAGAGATGCCTGTTCCTTCATCAGTGATTCCCCAAATGGCTTTTTTGGCCAGGTTCCAACCCAGACACATCCATGGCCTCTGCCCTCTACAGCCAGGCAGTGCAGGTCTAACTCTGGGTGCTCTGTGTGTGAGAGGGTGTGTGTGTATGTGAGAGGGGGTGTGTGTGTGTGTGTGTGTGTGTTGGGGTGGGGGAGTCCCTGGGTGCTGGGGGTGAGCATATGTGTGTGTGTGTGTGTGTGTGTGGGGGGGGGGGGGTCCCTGGGTGCTGGGGACAGGCGTGTGGGTGTGTGTGTGTGTGTTGGGTGGGGGGGTCCCTGGGTGCTGGGGACAGGCGTGTGGGCGTGTGTGTGTTGGGTCGGGGGGAGGTCCCTGGGTGCTGGGGACAGGCGTGTGGGTGTGTGTTGGGTGGGTGGGGGGGGTCCCTGGGTGCTGGGGGCAGGTGTGTGGGCGTGTGTGTGTTGGGTGGGGAGGTCCCTGAGTCTGTCCACGTCTGCCTGTGTGTCCATCTGTGTGTCCCATGGTCTGAGTCTGGGCCGTGGGGAGGTCCCTGAGTCTGTCCACGTCTGCCTGTGTGTCCATCTGTGTGTCCCATGGTCTGAGTCTGGGCCGTGGGCTTGGGAACCAGCCACTGGCCACACTCACTTTGCTGGTCTTGAGGATGTCAAACATGAGCTGCAAGCCCTCGGTCACCAGCTCCTCGTTGTACTCCTCCTCTTTGATGGAGCTGAAGTCCCGCAGGAGGCTCTGCACCACCGAGTACCGCGACTGCGAGAAGGAGGTCCTCAGAGACTCGATCCAGATGTGCAGCTTCCAGGGGACTCCTGGCCCAGGCAGGGAAGGGCAGGCAGTCACGCACCACAGCTAAGCGCTCCCGGCACAGACCACAGCCTTTTCTGGGCAGACTCTCCCAGGATGCCCCTGCTGTCTGCAGAGCACCCCGCCCACCCCCTCCCGCCTGCCCCCTTCCTGTGCGCTGAGTGGCCCTCTCAGGATGGCCATGGAAGGAAAGCTTTAATTCATTCTAATAGGGCTTGCTGGCAGGTCAGAGTGGAGTTTCAGGTTCTCATGAGATGAGGTGGAGGAGTGGCTTCGGCCCAAATGCAGGGAACTCAAGCTCTGAAAGTTGATGGCCCAGCCTGGGGATTTTGAAGCGTGGGCCCAGCACCCATAGTAGCCTTGTTGCTTATTGCGCTCAAAAATGACTTGCTAGAGAGGTCTCATAGTTGTGGAGGGGTGGCCAGGAGGGCTTGGATGGCCAGAGAATATGCCAGGCACTCCAGGACACACAGGCCTCCTTGCCTGCACGGAAGCTCAAAATGAACCTGGTCCTATCACGAGGCGCTCTCCCAGCACACAGATCACTGGAATGTCGCTGCACATCCCCGGGCACATAATGACTGTTTTACCAGGTCCCCAGCGTGTGTCAGCGGGGCCATAACTTAAAATTGCTGTGGGAAGTTCGTGACATAAAAAACTAGTCATGGCCGGGCGCGGTGGCTCAAGCCTGTAATCCCAGCACTTTGGGAGGCCGAGACGGGCGGATCACGAGGTCAGGAGATCGAGACCATCCTGGCTAACACGGTGAAACCCCGTCTCTACTAAAAAATACAAAAAACTAGCCGGGCGCGGTGGCGGGCGCCTGTAGTCCCAACTAATCGGGAGGCTGAGGCAGGAGAATGGCGTGAACCCGGGAGGCGGAGCTTGCAGTGAGCTGAGATCCGGCCACTGCACTCCAGCCTGGGCGGTAGAGCGAGACTCTGTCTCAAAAAAAAAAAAAAAAAAAAACAACAAAAAAAAACAAACTAGTCATGTCCCTGGTGATTAGAGAGATAGCTTCTTACCCCAGCCTCACTGTGGATTAAAGAACTGATGGCATTCCCCAGCGACACATGGACAGCAGTGTGGTGGTGGTACTACCCTTGGGTTACTGACTGCAGGTGGGGGTGACGTCTCCGTTTCCCAGTGAAGAACACTGAGGCTGACTCACTGCTGTCTTGGCCCAGCCCTGGGGGGTTGTGGCCCTGTGATGACAGTGACAGTGCTATCATCCACCAAGTGCTCACAGTGGCCACTGTGCCTTGTACCCCATTCTTAGATAAGGATCATTAGCACCAAACTCACAGAGGCAGCAATTGAGGCTTGGAGAGAGGACGTGGTGTGCAGCTAACACAGGACCTGACCTAAGTTTGTCTGACTAGCCTCCCTGGAGGACACCAAAAGTCCACAGACTCGCAGACCCAAGGAGTGCAAGGTCAACCAAGTGACAGGATTGCCGTCTCACAGCATGGAGTCCCGGGGCTGCAGAGGCTCCCAGCGCTCCACATCCCTGGGCTGTGACTGGGGAAGGGGCAGCGAAGCTCCAGCCAGGCAGGGTGGAGGACCCAAGGGCAGAGGGCTGGACCATGACCCCAAGACATGGCACTGTTGAGCACTGTCTGAGGCCCAGGGCCCCTCCTGACCTGGCTGTGTAGCTGGGGGGTCCCAGGCTCCACCCTGTCTGTGCTCAGCTGCCCTGGGGCTTGTCTGTCCCTGCGGGCCCTGGCCCTCTCAGGCCTGCTGAAGAGCACCTGGGAGTGACCGTGTGTGTCCATATGCATGCATGGACATGCGTGTGCACGCCCGCGAGGCCTCACCCAGCGCCCTCAGCTCCATGGTGATGTCCACATAGCCGTGCTCGGCGCTGTAGTACATGGCCTCCTGCAGGGCCTTGGTGCGGGTCCGGCTCAGCCGCACAGGCCCCTCGCTGCCGCTGCCCTGGCTCGACGCGTCGCTCTCCTCCACACCCTCGGCCAGGATCTCCTCCAGGGACAGCACGTCCGCTTTAGCCTGCTGCGGCTGCGTCAGGAGCTTCCTCAGGACGTTCCTGCGGGCCCAGGGATGAATGAAGGTGAGGGCTGAGGTCCCATAGGCAGTGCCCACCTGAGCTGTCCTCCAGTACCCCCCTGCCCCGATGGGCTGCTCTAGGGCATCCAAGGGCTCAGAGTTTCATGGTCTTCCTCCTCTAGGTAGGCCAGGGGTCCCAGGGTCACCGATCCCCATACACCTCCGAGAGGCAGGGCAGGGTGCAGGGGAACCCACCCTTCTACCATCCCGGTATTGCCGAGAAGTCATAGGCTTCGGGGCTGAGCGAGCTCTGCCATCCTGGCTGTGTGACCTTAGCCAGGTCACTCTACCTCTCTGAGCCCTGACTGCTTTGGTATCTGTATTGCAGGGTGTCATTATATCACACTTTCCTGGGGCTCATGTGAGGCTGATGTAAAGGGTTTAAATGCAGAGCCTGAAACATGGCAGGTCTGTCTAGATAGCAGCTGACTATGCACGTGAAAGTGTCTAAAACACAGGAAGAGCCCGGTAAGTACTCATTTGGTCCCTTCATGTTGATAAGGATGAACTGGAGATGGATGTCACGTAGAATTTGTTCATATTTACGAATGAAGACACAGAATATTAGACCCCACGGAGGACGCTTCCCCCTGCTGCTGCTTTTCGCCTCATGAGAGCCTACACACATCACCGTCACAGGCGATGGATCTGTCTTGCTCAAGGCCACTCCGGGTGGGGGTACAGACCCAGGACTTCTGGTTCCAAGACCTAGGCTCATTCTGTCGTGTCCTGTGGCCTGGGGCTCTGGGATGGATGCAGTATGGGTGGGGCTGCAAGGTTCCCGCGGGCTGATCTCTCCACGGCCACCCCGCAGACCCTCCTCATACCTGCCAAGCTCATGGCCTGGAGGTGCCCTTCCAAGGACCCAAGGTCCCTGCCAAGGGCTCCTGGACTTGCTAGCTCAGGCAGTTTACAGAGCACCTTGTTTGGGCCAGGCACTGGCACGTGAAGGTGAACTAGCCACGGTGCCTGTCCCAAGAGTCCTGTGCTCAGAGTGACAGGCGGATGAGCAGGCAGGCAGTCTCCACACAGTGTGAAGAGGCCTCTATGGGGGATACAGGCACTGGGCGGGGTGGAGTGGCCTAGAGGTGGCGATGTGGAAGATGGTGCCTGGAGGGTGAGGGCGGCTGAGGTGGGTGAACGTGGGGGTGGGCTGGAGACAGCTGGAGAAAAAAGCATTCTAGGGCAGGGGACCCCAGCCAGAGCATGAGCCTGGTGACAAGAATGGTGTCAGGGAACTGGAAGTAAGTGTCCTGCCTGCCAGCCCTGCTTTTCCGGGCCCTGTTTCTGCCCTGTAATAACCCCTTGTCTGGTCTCCCTCTTGCCCCTCCATGCTGCCCCTGACTTCAGCCTGCTGCTGTCCCGCCACACCCTTGGGCAGGCCTGGTCCCCACAAAGCAAGCTCTACCATCTGCACCTGGGGTAGGGTGCAATTTTGCACCAGGAGCCTCTGCACAGCTCAGCCATGTGCTGTTTGGACGCCCAAGGCCGCTTGGGCACTGGAGGACCACCAGCAGGCATGGGAAGCCGCGTGGTCCTGAGTGGGCTCTGGCAGCTGCAGAGTGGCCTCTCACTGGGAAACGGGACGGTCTGCCCTTGGCGT